TTTAATTCAACAATAAGTGGTCATTTTAACTTCGATTTTGTACTTTCTCTACCACCATTTAATTAAGATCAAATTGTAGTTGATCAAAATAGTTTTGGACCATAGTATTTAAGAAAAACTCGTAATGTTACAAAATTCGAACATAGACAGGAAACTTCGTACTACCATTAACCCTTCCATCCACATGTATTATCACATATTTCAACTATCTGCGTCGATCTTCATAAAAGAATTAGTGGTTCACATTAATTAGTTCACGCTTAAATTTATAAAATTTGTTCATAAATTTAGAATATTCAAACAATTTTAATTTCTTTATGTTTTTGATTTGATACCCTCCATCGAGGATTTAAATCATCTAGATCGAATCATGCGGCTGAATTGTTGCGTATTTGAAGACACAACCGGCCAAAAATTTAGATTTTATATTTACTCCTAGTAGTCAAATGCGTCTCACATATATTGCATATGGGTCGACTTTGTTAAATAATTAATTTAGTGTTTGAGCATGCATGGGTCGACCATGTTAACCCATTCTTCGTATTGAATAAGCTTTCTCTTATTCTCCAGACAAAGTAAAAAAAAAACACTATCCTGTTCCAACTTCCAAGTAAAAAACACTACCCTTGTATAATTGTATTGAATAAAGAAATCTCTACAGTCCCACACAATGACGGATCCATAATTTGAATTTTGGGTGATCTCAGTGTTAATGATCTAAGTTTTTTAGATATGAATAGAGCACGAAGCACGCAAAAAGAATTTTAGTTTATTCACTGAGACATTTCATCAAACACTTGATGAATTATATGAGAGAATTTATCAAATGTTGCCCACGAAACCTGTTGAGTATATGCCTAGCAGGTATTACATCAAATACTTAATATGCACAAACGAACCCATACAAAACTTTCAGAGGGTCTTCAAAAGACGTTCACATGTATATTTTCTAAACTCTTGAGACAAATGCACACTAGGACTTAGGTGGTACAAAATACACCGAATCGATAGTTTTATGTGTAGCCATATAGACACGTGATTTGTGCGTCGGAAGCTAGAATTTTATCCGGAATGAGCCGTATGCTTTCATCTGCTTTGTCAGGGAATCAGGGTTAATTAGGTTAAGTTAATTCAAAGAGGTGTACGAGTGATTATCGCTATTATATTAGTGTGGTACTGCATGCCACGCGAGAGGGCTCGGTTTTGCTGCTCTCAACGTGATAAGTTGCTCCCTTCCCCGCGCGCGCGACCCATAATCTAATTTCTTTCTTTTTTAATTAAGATTAATTAAAAAGAAATTTATGTAATTCTACATGGTTGGTACTATCTAGTAGATCAGCTCAGCCGTAAACTGTTTTGTAACTGTCACCAGTACCAAGGAGGAGCTATGGTTAACAACTATATAAGGACATTGTTGGATTCATTCGTGGAAGCATCCCTTTATCATATTTCGAGACTAATTAGATTATACTAATTGATAAATAATAAGTTAATTATTGTCAATAAATCAAATAAGATCACATGAGAAAGAGAGAGGAAGCTAGACGACGGTCCAAATAAGTTAGATCTTATTTTGATAAAAAAAAAGAATAAAATTACAAGAAGAAACCACGACGGCAACTCTCACTAAAGCAGTTAAATTGTCAGGCATGCAAAGCTTCATGAGGCAAAACATTGAAACTTGCAAATCATCTGTAGCATGTCCTCCGGTTGCAGTTGCATCCGTCACGAAATTTGCTTCACGAAAGACATGCTTGAACTGAATATCCATGATTTGAATCAATGAGAACTTTAGAGTGTCCCTTGTACGTGAAATCTTCCACCTCCTCCGATCAAGTTATACCTTGTTGGTAGTAAATTAGTACGTAATTGCAGATCCTGGAATGTCCACAAGCAGCTGCATGACAGCCACGTCTGGTCTCGGATTTTGATTAATTCTCTAATTAAAGTATAACGTGTGTCAAAGTTGTCATATGAACTTTCAGTTTAATTATTTCATATCCCTAATTTCTATTTTCCGAGTCTCTAATCTCGCGAGCAGTTTTGTATGCGACAAGGCGTTGAACACACACACACACACACACACACACATATATATAAGGGAAGCCTTGAAGAGAAGAGATTTCTATTTTTTAGATTAGTTGTGGGATACACACCATATTGAATTTTAACAATCCAAACCGTCTATTTTTTAGGTTGCACCTCATAGATCATCGCTGCAAAATATTAACCAAATCGGAAATATTTAAGACATCTAACTGAGTTAAAAAAAATTAATGAATATTTTGTTATATAAGAAACAATGAAATTTTTATCTTGATAATTAAATAGGCAAATGATTTCGGATTGAATTGAATTTTTGCAAGAATGATCTATGAATCGAGACTTACAAAATAAACAGTTTGTCGTTGAAGTTCAATGTGAACAAGACCCCATACCTAATACACACACTGCATGTTGCTTCGCACGTGTGTATACATATAATAGTTGAAACTACAAAAAAACCCTCCTCCCTCATGGATCAGATCAAAGATGCCTCCATCGAAATTATCAAATATATATTCACAGAATTTTATCTTATTTAGTTTTCTTAATTTGCAGTTTTCGGTTCACCTTTTGTCATGTCCCTTATTGACCCAAAAAAGAAAGAGCAACTTTAGTTTGTCAGGATTAATTTACAGTGCTTTTCCACGTAGACATAGAATGTAGTTTTTCTAAATTAACTAATTGGATGGTCAGTCTTGTACAAGAGTACAATTTACGTTAATGTATGAAGAGGCTCTTGTATGTAGCAGGGTCACTATTATTGTGGTGTTTTAATTCCACGTCATGCATGTAAAAGACTTTTATACGTACATGCATGTAAAAGACCTTTATACGTACATATATCGCTGATCTAATACACTACACTGGAGATGAACGTATTTTGTTTAAGTTCATCTCTAATGCATGATATATACATATCGGTTAGATTTACGCTGAATAATTCTAATAAATTTGACGGGTGAATCTAAATCTCTTAAAAATGTGGTGGTGAGTCTTCAAGGTTAATAAAGTGAAAATGCGACTCCAAACATAAAGAGAGAGTGAGAGGGGTGAACTAGGATTATCACTCCTCCAAATCACCTTTTTTCTCCTCCTCTCTCATTTTTTTTGTTTTTTTTTTCTATAAAAAAATCATCACAAAATATTAACATAACTTAATTGTTACTGTACAAAGAGAAGAGAGGAGAGGAAAATTTGGTGGGGGAGACAATTTTAATTGAGATAGGTGGCTTCTCCAGTACTCGTATTGAATTGACTGCATGGGAGACATACAGAACCATGCAGGAGGTAACTTTATTCTGCCCTTTTGCTTTCACTCTCTTTTCTACATGGCTTCAGGTAGGTCAAATTAAAGGAACCGGATCTCCTTCGGACCTAAAAAATTTGAACTCAAAGATCAAATGATTCGGACCTAAAAAATTTGATCAAACGGCTACAATTATTATAACTTTTAGAGAACCCCTTGTTTGTAACCGTTGAATCAAATTTCAATAGCTCATATCATTTGATCCTTAGGCTTAGATTTTTTGGATCCAGAAGGGATCCGGTTCCCAAATTAAGACCTCTGACCAGCTCGTCAACTACTCGGATGAGGACTACCCAAGACCATGGACTGTCGAGTACTGATGCTGTTAAAGATCTTCTGGACATTGCATGGGCTGCCTGTAATGTATATATACATGAATATCTCTTCGTGTCCCGTACATAACGGTGTTAGTATGGACTGTGTGTGCCTTTGTCCCCGTATTAGACGACACCGACTTGTATTTTTATATTTCATATTTTTGGCATGTATATATTTACATATTCAATTTTGCATCGGATACTCGTACAAGGCCATGCGACCACACCGGCGAATTTTGTCTTCTTCACAGTATATAAGTTTATTAATAAATTTAAGAGAATAATATTAATGGATATTAAATGTATGGGATATGCCCTTCATATCTAGTATCTATGGTGTTAGTTATGATTAAAGTCAAATAGTGTATCCTTCAACCCTAAAGTAATGAGTAAATCTTCGATAAGGCTGTTTGATCAGAGCTGCTTACTCACTGTAAAGAACATTTACTTATATTTTTAAGGTATAAGAGTGATATGAGAATGTTACACAATATTTCATGTATAACATAAAGACGTCTTTTTTTTTATAAGGATACATGGTTGAATTATTAAGAATGAAATGCGGATTTTAATGTGAGATTCACTTAGATATGTGTGAAAGAATGATATTCCTACCCTATATTCTCAATCATTGTAAGTAAGCAAGCTATAGTGGGATAACTATGGGGTTGAATAGAACAAAATATACAGTCTCTTACTTTTGTAAGATATGCCTACAATATCTTGACTAGGGTATAAGCATCAAAGTTTTATTTCTAGTAACACCGACACAATTTAAGAAAATCAACTTTGTATAACACAGATACACTGTCACCATGACAACTATTACCAATGAAACCACCTTATAAAAGAAAACATGTGTTGAAATTTTTAGGCACAAGTCACCAATTGTGACTTTGTAACTGTGCCATAAAAATCATTCCCAACTCAAGTCCAAGTCCAAAAATATTGGAATGAGAGCCATTCTAGATTTTTGTGTCCGAACCCGAGGAACGAGATATCCTCATCATTCAAGAGAGAGATAGAAATCGAGTCGTTCAAATTTTTGAGTTTTTAGTAGACTAATGGGATGTACTAATAGAGACCGTAAAATTAAAATTAAGTTATTCAAATCATTATATTTTCAAGTATGAACACAGAAATTCGAAATGAATCTTAATTCAAATAGATTGACCGATTCACAATACTGCAGTAGTCTTCGGACCCCACGACCCTTGAGTTAAATAATTTAACCCATTTCCTAACCATGGTTAAATAAAAATTTAAAGTTAAAACGGTCCGGATAAATTTGCAGCCTCTACCTTTTCCCTCTAGCGCTCACTTATTTCAAGTTTTCTGTTCACTTTCTCTCTCCCTCTCGAAACTCGCGTCTTATTTAAACGCATGCGAGCTCTCATTCGAGTTTGCAGCACCAGAGAAGAAGACCGCCACTCTCCAAGCTCAAATTCCGCGACGTGTTCGCCGGAAATGGTATTCTCCGGCAAACAGGTGTTCCCGGTGGACTACGAGGCCGAGGTTTCGCAGCGACTGCTCGAAGCCTCGCTCTCCGGCGATCTGAAATCGGCGCTGGAGTGCGTCGCCGATCCGTTCGTGGACGTTAACTTCGTCGGCGCTGTGCTCCTCAAAACGAGGAAGTGTGAGTTGTTGCTGCGCGACGAGTCGCCGAGCGAAGTCCGCGTCGACTACGAGGAGTTCAAAACCGACGTCACGGCTCTGTTCCTCGCCGTTCATACTGGAAACGTCGCTTTGGTGAAGAAATTACTGGTAATGTGTACTTCAATCTTTGATTTTAAACCGTGTGATGCCAAATCACTGTGTTTGAAGTTGAGATTTGAATGTTTTTTGCTCACATCGTTGATCTTTCACCGAATTTGAAAGCATGTTGTGCTTAATTTAAATTATTTTGAACTGTTTATGCTTTTTTTACGATTATATTGTTTGATTTGAAGCTATTTCTGTTTGCATAGAATTAGAACTGATTTTGAAGGTGTTTAGTACTTAATTAAAGAATATTGAAGTGTTTTCGGCTTAATCACATTGTCGAGTTTTGATGATCTGCGAAGCATGTTTTATGTGTTTAGAAAGTGAAATGTTATCTACGTTTTCAAATTAGTTCATGATCCAGCATTTTTGAATTTTTGTTTCAACTGTAACTCTGTTTTCAGTACATTGCCGGAAGAAATTCATCTCGTTTTGTTTTCGATATGCTTAATTGCTCGCCCAAAGGGAAGAAACTCAAGAAATAACTGCTAAACCATATTTTTTGTATTTAGGATTTATACAGCCGATCCCACTTATTGGGATAAGGCTTCGTTGCTGTTGTTGTATGTTATTTTTTAGTACTACTTTATGGATTTTAACTTTAAATCACTGCTGATCCTAGATGTTTGGAGGGCAGGTGACTATTCGTTCTCTAGTTTTTGGAGCCGAAAGTTTGTGATTTTCTTACTTTGGGCCTTGCTTTGCTGAAAATATAGGGCTTGTTTGGAAGTGCTTTCAAAATGACTGAAAGCAATGTTTTTTAAACCAATCATAGTGTTATCTGGTGCTTCTTCCCAAAAGAACTATATTAGTTATAACACTTATTTTTACTAAGGAATAGTTTAAAAACATTTTCACCAAAACCGCTTTCAGTCATTTTAAAAGCACTTCCAAGCAAGCTCATATACCTTTATAAGATAGCTTACATTAATGAATGGTCTGGAGATCCCACATCACTTCTCTCAAATTATATGTTCTGAGCCTGAGGGACATAACGCTATGCTAAAATTAAACATCCCCCCTTCCCCCAAATTAGTGAACTGCTTGTTGAATGTTCCATGCTTCTATGCCTATCACGTCATATTTGTTGCCCCATTTCGTCTGAATGTGTTTTCTGACCTTTTGTCTCCGACGAAAAAAAACAATGTACCTGCTAGTGTACTAGCTTTAATCTTTTCTTCCTGGCCTTAACAAAGTTTGTTTGGAAATTAAAGTGAAGAAAAGAAGTGGTAGATTGAATAGTATTATGTCTGCTTGCGGAATTACTACTGTTTCTGGTTTTATAACGTACTAAGGATTGGCGTTTTCTTGAATTACAGAGCATTGGTGCTGATGTAAATCAGAAACTCTTCAGGGGCTTCACGACAACAGCAGCGGTGAGAGAGGGCCACCTTGAGATTCTAGAGATCCTACTGAAAGCTGGAGCATTTCAACCAGCCTGTGAGGAAGCTCTATTGGAGGCAAGTTGTCATGGACATGCTAGGCTCATTGAGCGGCTTATGGCCTCTGATTTGATTCGGCCCCATATTGCTGTGCATGCTATTGTCACAGCCAGCTGCAGGGGGTTTGCTGATGTGGTGGACACTCTCATGAAGGTAGAGCATCGTATTCATTTTCCAGTAAGATCTGTTCAACAACTTTCTGAATCCCGCAGCAGATAGCATTAGAGTAAAATAGGATTCAACAGTTAATAATTGCTTGTACTTGACATCAGTAAAAAATGATAATCTGCCTGTTTAAGCTCAAGATAACAAATATCGAATCATATCTGTTACGATACTCAATGAGTTTTATTAGCACAATAACACTGTTCGTCTTGCTCAATTGCAGTGTGGTGTGGATGCAAGTGCAGCTGATAGGATGCTGCTTCAATCGTCTAAGCCCGCTCTTCACACTAATGTTGACTGTAGTGCATTTGTGGCTGCAGTTGTGAGTAGGCAGGTCCCAATCGTACGTTTGCTGCTACAGGTGATTCCCACATCACATACAATTTTGCTTAGCTTAAATCAATGGTGATGCAGACATATGTACAAGTTCGGGGGGAGCCCGGTTATTTGACTGTCAATTACCCTGCGTTCTTAAGCCTAAAATGTATCATTAGATTGATCAGATACGACCCCGAAAGCCATAATTTAGGAATAGTAGAGAAGTAAATTTCAACTGAGATTCCAACTGTAGGTCCCCTCTAAGGAGGTGCATTAACCTGGACAGCTGGATTTGTACCCTTCCATAGGGATAGAGTGGTACACATCTCTATGATTGCAGTAAGATCTAAACAGAAAATGATTCTGATTATATTTTTCTGACAGGACAATAGTACTGTTACTGTTTCATCTTCTGTAATTACTACTCTCCTTGTATCCTTTTACTTTTCACTCCACATGACTAACAACCTTCGTTTGTTCTTTGTTTCAAAATTTAAAAATTAGGCCGGTGTGAGGACGGATGTCAATGTGAGGTTGGGAGCATGGTCATGGGACCCAACTACGGGGGAAGAGTTTCGGGTTGGGGCAGGGTTGGCGGAGCCATATCCCATTACCTGGTGTGCAGTGGAGTATTTTGAAGCAAGCGGTTCTGTCTTGCACATGCTCCTCCAAGGCCTTTCTCCGGATACCCCTCATTGTGGAAGAACTCTCCTGCACCACGCTATTCTATGCGGTAATGCAGGAGCTGTCCGTGTGCTCTTAAGTTGTGGTGCCAATGTAGAATCACCCGTTAAAGCAACTGGTGGTACCATGTTTAATCCGATACACATGGCTGCCCGCCTTGGTTTGCCAACAATCGTTCAATGTTTAACTGAATCTGGATGTGATATGAACTCCAAGACTGATTCTGGTGAGACAGCTGTAATGATCTGCGCAAAATACAAGCATGAAGAATGTCTCAGAGTATTGGCGGCAGCTGGTGCTGATTTTGGCTTGGTTAATGCTGCTGGTCAGTCTGTTAGTTTGATTGCCAGGGCAGCTAGGTGGTCACTTGGTTTTCAGCAGGCGTTGATGTGTATAATGAGTGGCGGAAAGATGCCAAAATCCAGCAACTTTTCTGTTTTCTCTCCCCTAATGTTTGCAGCTCAAGCCGGCGATATTGAGGCCTTGAAAGCCGTAGTTGGTTCAGGAGAATTTGACATCGATTATCAAGATGATAAAGGTTTCACGGCCGTTATGATCACTGCTTTGAAGGGGCACGTGGAAGCATTCAGGTTTCTGGTTTATGCAGGGGCTGATGTAAAACTGTGTAACAAGTCTGGTGAGACTGCAATTACTCTATCAGAAATAAGCCAAAACCGTGACCTATTTGAGAAGGTAATGCTCGAATATGCACTAGAAAAGGGCAATCGTTACGCTGGAGGGTTCTATGCTCTGCATTGCGCAGCACGCCGTGGGGATGTGGATGCAGTCAAATTGTTAACAAGTAGGGGATATGATGTGAATGTCCCTGACGGAGATGGTTACACTCCGCTCATGTTAGCGGCTAGGGAAGGTTACGGTCTCATGTGTGAACTCTTGATATCTCACGGGGCAAACTTGGATATCAAGAATGCCAAAGGAGAAACACCGCTTTCTCTTGCGAGGAAAAGCGGCGGTGGTTTGAAAAATGAGGCAGAGCAGGTGATACTAGATGAGCTAGCTCGCAAGCTGGTGCTAGGTGGGGCGCGTGTCCAGAAGCATACGAAGGGAGGGAAGGGCAGCCCTCATGGGAAAGAGATGAGGATGGTGGGAACTGTAGGGGTGCTCTGCTGGGGGAAATCAAACCGGAGAAATGTGATATGCCGGGAGGCGGAGGTGGGGCCTAGTCCAGCCTTTAGGAGGAATAGAAGGAGCAAGAGCGATGCAGATGAACCCGGAGTGTTTAGGGTGGTGACTACCAAGAACAAGGAGGTGCATTTTGTGTGTGAAGGCGGTGAAAGCGCCGAGCTTTGGGTGAGGGGTATAAAGCTTGTGACCAAGGAGGCTCTTTCAGTAATCGGAGCGTCATGAACGTTGGTGACCGACGAGAATAGCGTCAATGAAGTAGGATGGTGTATAGAGAGGTTTCCGGGAATACTTCGTCTTGAAGTATTTAGAAGTAGAGTCGGTTTCTTTTCGTTGTAGAGGTTTTTATCCCGCAGTTGTAAATCTGTTATCGTCTAAAGGGACAACGAAAATTGAGCATTCGATAGCTAGCTTTGTTCGCCATATGGATTCCAAATTTTAAAAACGAAAACCAAAAATTTAAAACGAAATGAAATGATTACCAAGCGGGCCATTAGCTGATTTGAATCGAAGTGAGCTCACTCTATAAATATTTCTGGAACGGAGAATGAAATTGAAATAAATACGATAAACTAAAGGACTCTTTTACAAAAGGGAACTCCGATAGACATCTTTCGGAAAGGAGTGGGATCGAGCGCCAACCAGAATCAAAATACACTCTGACAAAACACCACCTTTTAGCCAGATCTGATCTCTTTCTCCTTTGCCTTGCACAAGTCCTCTGCTGTCTTGACAAACTTTTTAGTCAACTCGTCAACCTGCAAAATGTAGCCATTCCAAACAACCAATGAGCAATACAAAAACTTGCATCGTATCAACTGGGGCACTTAGAACCGTTAGATCCAAGTTGTGAACTGAACCTAACTGGATCTAACGGCTCTAGGTGCCAGAGTATGCCATACTCTGGTGTAGTATTGTAGCGAAACTTCATATTAATTTAAGAGCAGTTAGTTCTTAAGTTAGAGCTCACCTCTTTCTCCCATCTCTTTAAGTCGTCCTTTGGGTAGTTTTTGGTCAACTTTTTTATCGTATCCATTGCCTGTAAAAGAAACCAACAGTCTAGTTAGTTGTGGTGCAAAGCCACCAAACTTAGAGTCCGTACTCACATATCAAGCACGTTGGATCGTTCTACACCCCTCATTGTTTTGGTCTTCAGTACTACTAATGATACATTTCTTCCTGAGACCACGAGACTAGAAACCAGGAAACTAAAGATTTAACTTATCATCCAATAGTACTGGTAAAATTGATATCGTTATAAAGACTCATATCTTACAAAAAAAGTATTTCGAGTTTTACCATAAATAAACTTGCAATTGAAGCAAGTGACGGTAAATGTTCAGAAGATGGTCTAGTAAATTTGTTAGACGGATATCGTGCAACGATTATGAGAATCAATGACCTGGCCTTATGGCTTTTACGACTAAAGACTCTCACTTAGACAGAAAATAGATAACTTTCATTTTGCATTTTTTTTTCTTTCCATAAATTGTAAGAGACCTGTTGAATGTTTAGATTGTTCTTCATATATTCATTGTGTTCTCATACTTTATAATCTATAGTTTTGCAAGTTATGTATCCCAATGCAATTATATATTTTTAACTATAAGCAGACACTTATTTATAAGATAAGTAACAAATCTACTTAAATCTGCCTAGTCCGCCTAGGTCCCCGCTTAGGCCCACCTAGCTGCTTAAACGCTAGGCCCCAGCCCGGTGCCTGACTAGCGCCTAGCATCTTTTAGAACCTTATAAAAAACAAAATTGACTTCTGTTACCTTTTGGCGACCTCTTCGAATACTTTGTTTGCCATCTTCAGCGGACTTGGTAACCACTTTACAAATAGCCTGGTAGAATATATTCACTGATAAGGTATGGTAATTATCAGACAAGGCAAAAACGAAGAGGGGAAAAGCAGTTGTACGTCACCTGAACATGCTCTTTCGTCAATCTGGACATCATAAAAATTAGAAAAATATAAAATTAGTCAAGTAATGAAACACACGGCTGAATCCAAGTTAGCTTGGCGAGTATTTTCGAGTTATTATTAAGAACTAAGAAGCTAAAAAACCATGAAAACCAAAAATTCATGACAGCATAAGTGACAATCAGATGCTTGCTTACGGAGGAATAGCTGCAATCAGTCGGTCCCCATCAACTTTAGGATTTAACCCCAATGGAGATTCAACAATGGCAGTCTCCAAGTTCGATAAGGCCTGCACAAGATCGTCACGTTATTGGAATATTTTTACCAGAATTGAGTTTAGATATATCACTGCAGACAATAGGTATGGTAAGGATCTCGCTTAATCCAACCCGAAGAACAGAAAATGTAATTAAGATTTACCAAAATCAAAAGTGACTACATACAAATACAACACAATGTTACTGAAACGCGCTTGCATTGCTTCATTACCGTAGGATCAAAAGGGTTGATGGATAAAGTTTTCGAATCAATGACCGAAACAGCGGCTATCTGATGCAAGGGCAACTTCACACCGCCGGTTTCCACAATGATGTGATCAAGCATCCCTGCATAAACATTTCAGACAACTTAGAACAATAAGAACCAAAATTGAGCAAATGAACAACGATTTGGCACCGGAGAGACTGAAAGTGTACCAGGAGATGCTCTTCCGGTGCGCAGTTTGCTTAATTCCGCCGTTAGCGCTGCGATCGCCGCCTCCATATGCGAGGTGGCATTTGCCTTGATCGTCGGCCCCATGTTTGGCAAAATTTCAACTGTACTCGCAGCCGATTCATCTTCTTTTTCTTTTTCAGAATATGTGCAAGAAAATTGAAATATCATATCAAACGAGTGCAATTTTAGAAGTTACATTTTAGAGAGAGAGAATGAGAGAGAAGGTACTTTTATTGCGGCCTTTGGCGAAGCCTCTGCGGCTTTCTCTGACGAATTCAAGGGCGGGAAGAGATAAAACCCTGTGCGGTGGCGCGGAGTTGCATTGCCGGAGCTCGCGACTGAGCAGCGCGGAGCTACGGAGGAGAAGGACGTTCCGGAATGAGAGCGCGCGTCTCAGAAAGATCGCCATGGGTGGAGCTCTCTAGGGTTTTAGATTTTTGTTAAACCCCCGCGCGCAGTGAGGCCTGAGATTTGGGCCTCCAAGCCTGGGATTTGGGCCATATAATATAGTAAGACATCTCCCACCGATCCGCTAACAAGGTAATAAGGCTAAAAATAGCTCGTTTCGACATGAAAATCGTCTCCAACCGAGGGCTAGACCAAAGGGCTCGTGGTCCCCACCCAGCCAAAAATGGGAGAATTGGCCAAATGGATGGCCAAGCAGCCAGCCCTCCAGCGCCAGAATGTCAAACTTGACGTTTTGCCACCCTTTAGTGCCAGAATGTCAAGCTTGATATTTTGCCAGCCCTCAAGCTTAACTCATTTGAATGCCAACGGCTACCTAGCGTCAGCATGACGCCAGCTAGCAACGACTAGCTGACGTCAATCTGCCGTTAGGTTACCTTTGGAATTTGAATTTTTTTTTTTTGACGAAATTTTTTTTCCGATAAATACCTAAGCCATTCCTACACCATTTATCACATACTTTTCACCATTTCATACTATCTTACCTCATTTTATTTCAATTCTTCACATTCTATTCTCTTACCTCTTCTAATAATATTTCCTTTAATTTTTGCAATAATTTTCAAATGGCCACATCTGCAATGAAAGAAAGGGCTTGGACCCGAAAAGAAAATGAAGCTCTTTGCAGGGCTTATAGATGGGTCTTAGAAGATAGTGTCAATGGTAATTCTCAAACAAGTGAAGGTGTTTGGAGGTGTGTGAATTCTACCCCAATATCTAGCCAATTTATTAACAATGGAAGCTGAAGATAAGAAGTACCACATAAATAAGAATCCTATCTAAAATTTATCCAAAAAATTATTAAGATTACATAAAGATAAGAAATCTAGAGAGTTACTCACTTTAGCGACACATGTCACTCGAAATCCTATCTGAAAAGTTATTGAGATTACATAAAGAAAATAAATCAGGAGATTACTCACGTTGGCGACATGTGTCACTCAAAATCCTATTAAAAAAATTATTGAGATTATATAAAGATAAGAAATCCAGAGACTTATTCCTTTGGTGACAAATGACACTCAAAATATGTTCGAAAACTTTATTTTAATATGGTAGTTTAATTTAAGTAATCATATTAATTAAATTAAAATAATAAATTATGTTTGGCGTATGATCCTTTGGTCACTTCGGTTGGAGATAATTTTTTGTCAAATGACTATGTTTGGCCTATGGTTCTTTGGCTATCTTGGTTGGAGATGATATAAAATATGATATGGTACTGTTCATTAAAATATAATTTCTTGTAAGACTATAAGGTTAAAGGAGGTCTTTTGGCTTTTCTTCAGTTGGAGATGACCTAAGAACTTAAGTCAACCTCTGGGTGCACTATGTTGACTAATATGCCCTTCCTTAAGAGAAATGGGAAAGCATCAATATCCAAATTCTAAAGGGTAAAACAGTAAAAAGAAGAAGCTTACCAACTCTCTAACGAAGCGTTCGGCATAAATTACCGAACCTGAAAAGACATTCGGAATTGTTCTTCGAATATTGCACGCATTGACATGAGACTCGAACGGCATCGTATTGGTGGTTCGGTATTTTTATTTTTTTTGTTTGAATACTTCATATTTTTAACAAGTGAAGAGAGAGTTCGTTTCAGGCTCAGCTACATAATAGGCAACCTAATTTAGTATTGAATTTATCATCCATAAAATTTGAACCTAAGATATTTCACTTCATTTTTCAAGAGAAATGAAATATCACGATCGTAATACTAACTGTATAATCAGGTTTTGGAAGCAAATCAGAGCAGATTTTGCACGTGGCAACAAACTACTCTCACAGCATATCCAAACAACAAGAGAGGCCGAGAAATCCACTCGCTCTCTCTTCTTCTCTTGAGCTCAAATCCTCTAAATTCAATAATTTTGGTGATTTTTTTGTTGGATTTAAGTTGAAAAATGGAAGCTTTCTGCGCCATCCGCTTTGCCCACTTCGCAGCTCCACTGAAAGTATCGTTCATCAGCACCAGGTTTTCACTCCACTCTCCCTCAGCTTATTTATGCTTAAATTTTGTGAGGTTAAAGCTTACTTTTTTATCTTCTTTAGGTTAATAAAGCTTAAATGTTTGTTAAATATGTGAATTCAAAGCCTTGTAATGGGAAATGGGGTGGTGGAAAAATTGAAAGTTAGAGTGATTAATTGCATGTTAAGACATTTTTAAGTGGATTTTGTTATGGGTTATTGTCGTAGTAGTGCGGTTGAAGGAGGCCCGGGTTCGATTCGTGGAAACAACCTCTTTACAAAGTAAGGGTAAGGCTGCATATGATAGACGTTTCTCCCTACCCTTGCTAAGCGGGAGCCTTGTTTGCTTGGGTTTGCCTTTAGTGTGGTTGAAAGGAGGATTAGAGGGATGGTTAGTGATTCTGTCATCAGTAAAAAGAAGTGTTGTAATAATGCTAGCTGAGGAGAGAAGGGGAAGAGAAAAAAAGTGAAAGGTTTATTGGTAATGTATTGCTCGTTGCCTTGGTGAATTGGTGCACCACCAACTTAGATGTGGTTGAATGGAGACTAAGGAGTAAAAGATTTCATTGTGATCGTGAATTGCTATAATTTTGTGATGGGGAAACTAGAAACTAAAAACGAAATAGTCATAAAACGAGTCCTAAAGCTTAATCTTTGTTCATATGTCAACTCAAAGTCTCAAACCCTTTGTAATAGGGAACTAGGATGATGTAAAAAATTAAAGTTACCTACTTGCAGACTGAGACGTTTTCAAGTGGATTATATAACGGAGATTGGGATAATTGTTTAGTTGAAAGTAGGACTTGGGGGATGGTTAGTATATTGGCACCAGTAGAAAGAGGTGTAGAAATGCAAGCTGAGGATAGAGAGGAAGAAAAATGAAGATATATTGGTCATAAGTTAACACTAATGTGTTATTGGTGCTCAGTACCAACTTGTATATGGTGGAAGATTTTGATATTTCCAGATTGTGTACTGGAAGCATCCAATGTGATTAAGCAGGTCATGATAGGCGGGAATTTTGGTGTTATTTGTTAGATTAAGTAGATTTTGGTCGGCCAGAGTTATGGTGTTTTTTGGTTTATTTTCTCTGTTCTCTTAAATAATTGTCATGATGGATACTGATTTTATTTACTTTTTCTCCAGGACCAGACTTGCTTTCCCTCAGAAACTCTTTTTCTGTCAAGCAAGGTTTGGTAAGCAACTTATTATACACTCCTCTAATGCAGCTTTTGTAGTAACAACCATATAAGCAACCAGTTCTGCACACAATTTATCTAGTTCTGTTTTTAACCAATACATATCAACATTTGTACAGCTGACTCGGGTGTAGATGGCTCGTTTAGCTTAAAATTGGTATCTCCAGCTCTATTGGCAGCTGAAAAAGAAGAAGCTAGGGCTGTCCTAACCTTGTTCCTAAAGAAACAAGGGCTTAGCCCTACAGTTGCTGCGAGAACCATAAACAAATCAGAGCATTTCGTTGACCACCTGGTTGATAGACTTCATTCTGTGCATAAATCCCGGTATCTAGTAGGTTCGAATTCAACATGTTACTTCTTCTCCCTTGATCCAGCTTACCTATATATTGTAAACTCTAAATTATTTGATCAAATATTCTTGTAGGACGAGAGCTAACAACTCTTGAGATTAGGGAGGCCCTAATCCCTTACCTTGAAGCCCTTCTTGAGGAGCATGGAATGTTTTTGGTAGATGTGGTGGAAAGCTTTCCAGATGAACCTGTAAAAGAAAAGCCCATTGTACCAGTTACTAAATCTCAACCGCCTGTGGATTTGAACTTGAAGAAGCTAAAGGCCATTTCTCGAGTAAGTGAGATAGGCACAGCTGGGACGCTCCCACCTCACATTGTCTACCTTTTAGAGCTTGGCATGGATCTTGATCAAATCAAGGGAATTGCACGCAGATTTCCATCTTTTGCGTATTACAGTTTGGAGGGGAAAATAAAACCGATTGTTGAGTTTCTTCTCGAACTTGGGGTCCCAAAATCTGATATCCCATCGATCCTTAACAAGAGGCCACAGTTGTGTGGAATCAGTCTATCCGAGAATATTATACCTACCATGAGTTTCTTAGAAGGCCTGGGTGTAGACAAGAAACAATGGGCAAAAGTTATTTACCGCTTTCCAGCGCTTCTCACTTACAGTAGGCAGAAGGTGAAGACAACTATAGATTTCCTATATGAAATGGGACTTTCAGCTGAGATGATAGGTAAGGTTTTGACGCGCTGTCCGAATATTATAAGTTACAGTGTAGAGGACAAGTTACGGCCAACAGCTCAGTACATTGTCTCATTGGGGGTGGATGTTGGTGTTCTGCTCCATCGATCTCCCACGGTTTTTGGTCTTAGTATTGAGGCCAACTTGAAGCCTGTAACACAATTTTTCGTTGAGAGGGGATACAGTATGGGTGAAATTGGGATCATGCTTTCAAGATACGGAGCTTTGTATACTTTCAGCTTGGCAGAGAATCTGATACCGAAATGGGAGTTCTTTTTGACCATGGATTATTCGAAATCAGAGCTGGTTAAATTTCCTCAGTATTTCGGTTACAGTTTGGAAGACAGGATCAAACCAAGATATGCACTAATGAAGGATTGTGGAGTGATGCTGCTGCTGAACCAATTGTTATCACTGTCAGGTAGTAACTTTGATAAGGCTCTTGCAAAGAAGATAAAGAAATTGAATGCCGGGAAAGATCCAAATACAAGCAGCGATGAATCGGAGGTTGAAGAATGAAACTCCTGAGCATGATATGGTAACAATACAGGGTGCACACGCGCAATATGAACGCAGATGCAGTTCAGTTGCCACATCGAAGCTAAAAATGGATGCTTTCACCGAGCAATACAGTCAGTGCATTGTTTCTAAACCCGGATAATCTATGTGATTCTTCTCAGCTGTGTCTGCAGACCGGAGTTATTCGGGGTTTTGTCAACTTTCCGTTAAAAACTTGAGAGCTGATCATGCGTTGCTGATTGACATCCTCCAAATGAATCATCTGCCGTCGTAAAACGTTTCCCTTGCTTGCATTTTTATGTACATTGCACCCAGCAATATCTGTAGGAAGGCTGGTTCTGCATTGATGTCAATACATTTTGTTAGTAACAGACTAACAGTTGCGTCGACACATTTTCAACGGTCGTTCTTTAGATTCTCGTTTCACAGCGGGACTATTGTGTGTTATAGTTAACGAAGTACTTACATGATACAGATATTAATGTTTTCGCGATGTTTCGTGTTTACAATTGTCATTGTGGCTTTCCGTGCTTATAATATGATGAAGGGTGATGTCACGTTATAATTGATGAAATGTGTAAGTTCTTCAGAAAATTTTCAGTGTGTCAGACCATGTTTGGTACACAAAGTATTATAATACAATTGGTTGGAAATTAAGTTTTCAATTAATTATATCATTACACTTAATATACTGATCAGTATTTTGACACATTAAATTTTTTTTATTTTCTGTACACTAAAAAACCTCTTCTGTACTTTTTATAAATTACTTGTGCCATTTAAGTTTGCTTTTCAAATTCGAGGTCAGCGCACAAAGATGCAGTCTTTTCTGGATTGGTCTGGTTAAAGTTGAAGGTGGAATGACACGACGTGCATGAGTTGGCATTTTCTGTCGGTTAATATGGAAAAGATTATTATCAAGTAATTGAGATTTTTTAAAATTAAATTTAATGGTTAAAAATTATTATAATCATTATATTTGTTTACTAATTTATCTGTTTTTAATTATTAGATTAAATTTTAAAAGTTCGAATCATTTGATCTTAGATTTTGAAGAGAGATCCGAACAGGATCTTTCAATTCAAACAACTTTATCTATTTATCGTCTCGGTCCTGGCAATGTTTTGTCTTTTCCCATTTTTGCATAACGTTTTAACTTTGGATTTACAAATTCAAATCATTTCCATTTTTTGTTTAAAATGTGTTATCACTTATTACACCTTTTTACTCCAAAAAGAAAAGAATCTACGTTGAATTTTTTTAATCTAAATATGGTATTGTCTTATCTAATTTCCCTTTCATTCTATCATTTACTAGTCTCCTGTCAACGCATACATACGCGGGTATTAATTGAAAATTAAACGATTTAGTGATTATAAAAGTTTTTTTTTTTTTTTTTTTTTTTTGCCTTTACTCTATAATTTTTTTTTTTTTTTTGAGGAAAATCATTTATGTATTTGGAATGTAATGGTGTATCACATAAATTTGGCATCCCTCCAAACATGGGAATTAGATTGTCACCTACCAAATTTGGCATCCCACCAAACTAATTACCAATGTAAATTATTTATTTTGTACAAGATACAAATTATTTAAATCAATTCAAATTATGAACATAAAGATTCAAACTCATTCATTTTGAAACATAAAGATTCAAACTCATTTTGAAACACATATGTCTTAACCATAACGCTACGTCCACTACTGCACCGACGATTTCACGAATACGAATCCTAAACACCCATTTTTTGTCCAATAACCTAAATGGGTAAATGTAAACAAAAGATTTTAGTAAAATCTAAAATTTAAATTTTGAAAAATACAAAAAGCTTTTAGTAATTTTGTTTTCTTTTGGTCTGAGGCTTATAAGGCGCACTACACCGCCACTCGACCGTTTCTTCTCCTTTTAACTTCCTCCCTCCCGTGTCCGGTACATACAATTTGTCAGCCGTTTGCTGACATAACCGCTTTCCTCTGTTTTCTTTCTCCTTTCTCTCTCCGACTCCCAGAGAGAAGCGAGTACAACAACCAATCGCAGAGACTGAAAAGCTTGAAGCTTTTCAAACGCGAAGATGTTCTACTCGCAGTGCTTGCTGTCGAGAAAAGGGCCGTTGGGCGCCATTTGGGTTGCCGCCTACTCTTTCAAAAAGCTCAAGAAGTCGCAGGTCAACCAGACCGACATCTCCTCCTCCGTCGGTTCGTTTCGTTTCGTTTCCTCTCTCTCTTCTTTTTTCCGTTCGGTTGGCATTTGATAACAAATGAGGGAAATTTGGAAATTTGAAAATTTAATTTAATTTATGTTCTTGAAAGGGTGTTTCCTGTTCATGGGTACTCATATTTTGTTGCTGTATTATGTATATTTGCATTGACGTTGATCAATTTTGTTATCTTGTTTCTGGGTTTTCCATTAACCAATGTTATCAACCATCTAGGAAAATTTTATTGCTCTAGTAATTGTTGTTGGTTGCAGAAATTGTAAAAAGATGGCAGAAAATTTGGGAATTTTTTTGACATTTAGGTGTTTTTTTTTTTAAATTTGAAATTTGAATTTAATTCGAAAAGAAAAGATTTTGTTGGCTTTTTTGTTGTGAGAGAAATTGGGTGACTAGGATCAGTAGAGAAAACCAAATTTTATATACAGAAGAGTAGGATTGGTTCACTTATTGGGAAAAGAAAAATTCGAATTGCTTCTTACTTGCGTTTTTCGGGTTTTTGTAATGCCAGGGGGAAGTGGATATGATATCTGGAGTTTTGGAACAGAACTTGGATGATTAACAGATTACATTTTCTAAAGTAAAGTTTTATTTCAACTTTATCATGTTTATTTAGAGTGTTATTTTTCGGATGCTGTCCAGATGGTATTCATATCGTTTTAAAGAGTTACATTCATATGGGTTGAGGACATTTGCTTCGAATTTATTAGGTTTAGACCGTTTAGTGTTGGGAAATATCCTAAACCGTATTGTGTTGCTGCAGATAAAATTTTGCAGGATGAATGGGATGCTGTTGCTTACAGGGTGCTGGCCTACCTTCTTCTTGGCGTTGTTCGAATATACTCCAAGAAAGTTGAATATCTGTATAATGACTGCAATGAAGTGCTGGTTAAAATCAACAAATTTGTAGTCAGTACAAAAAAGAATGCAGGCCCAGATAAGCTGCGTGCACCTTATTACGCTGTTACCCTACCTGATAGGTTTGAACTTGATGCTTTCGATCTGGGGATCCTTGAATTTGAAGATGTCAGTGGGTAAGCTGTGTAACTCATAAAACTGTGTGAGGATATTCCTGTATTTAGTATTCATATTTAACATGTGTGATTCCCTTAATTCACAGAGGCAATGTGGTGTCCCATGAAGATATCACACTTAAAGGTATTGTGTATATGATCCCGAATACTATTTTACTTAGTCTATTTGTATAAGTTTACCTGATTCAGCATGATATGAAACAGATAGTGCATATGGAAGAGGACAATTTTATTCAGGAATGGTACGTCACTCTAAGATTTACGTCACTTAAAGATTCTAATGCTTATCTTTTTCATGTTATTCATTTTCTTATATAACAATTAGTTCTTAATGATTGCAAAATTTCCTGATACGCATTTTCATAGGCTTGATTAATTTGTATTCCGAACATGCATGTAAGACTGTGTTTGTGTTTGTGTTGGTGCAGTATGATTATGAGGAATTTGATGCCTGCGACACCCCAGTCAAAGAGTATGCAAAATCATTCCGATACTGAAATTTTAGATTAGTTTTGCAATATTATCTTTTAATCGTATGTTTGATAAGTATATCTTATTTCAGTGTACTTTCATCTCACTGGTTGGACTTTGACATGGAGCTACGAGCATCGAGTAGTGGAGCCAAGTCAGCACCAGTTATGGAGGAGTTTCATGAGAATAGGTTCTCTCAAGAAGAATGCGTTGACCTAGAAAGATTTTGTAGAGTTGAGGATGAACCTCCAAGACAAGTTAAATCATCTGGTGAAGGTCAAGAAACTCATGGAGAGCAGTTAAGGGCTCCAGATATAGCACTTCTTGGAGATGCTATTCGAGGAGAAGCAATCCCGGCAGAAAAACTTGAAGACCATAGGTTGTCTCATGAAGGTTTGAACCTTGAGACATTCGATGGGACTGAGAGAGAACCTTCCCACCATGTTAGAACATCCAGTGAAGATCATCAGATTGATCGTGAGGAGGTTATGGAACCAGAGTCGGTACAACCAGAAAGTCAGACATGTCCGAGTATAGTACAAGACCATAATCTAATCACTGTAGAAGCTGGCATGGAAAAGTTGCAGAGTTGTACAGTATCTCAAGAAGACTACATGGACATTGATACATTTAATGGGGTGAAGCAACCTCGAGAACTTGTTTGTCCATCTGGTGAAACAAATCATAATGATGGAGAGCCAAAAAAACTACCCGAGATGATTTCACCAGATAGTAAAGAATGTCAAATTATTATGCAAGAAGATCCAGATCCTCTCTCTGTTTCATGTGATGGAACTCCTGGTGTCAAAATCCCCGATGCAGGTACAACACAGTCAATAAAGGAATTTACTGTTATGTTTCTTATAACTTCTTAATCCTTCAATTCCTATAGTTGTTTTCGTACTGGTAAAGGGCTGCTTTTGCACCATAACATACACAGTTGGACATTATTTGGCGTAGTCTGTCACTTTTCGAAGGTCTTTCTTATACTTTGCAAAAACCTTCATGTGTTCTTTTGTCCTAAATAAATTTCTCCTAATGCAGGTGTTATTGCACCAAAGTTTATGGTTATTCGTACACCAGCCTCTAAGGAGTTCGCTCGATTTTCTAAGAAAAGAAAATGTGTCATGGATGATATGACAGTCCTGCCTAATGAGTACGTGACAGTTTACTTCCCCTTTACATGTGTTAGTTGAAGTGTTTCTGTTTCACATATTGATAGAAACCCAGGCTATGAATCATTTGTATTTTGTCTAAGGTGTCTGCTCAAATGTTAGGAAGAACAATGTGTCAGGGATGATATGACAGCGCTGTCATTGATGATAAAATCGTTCAGGACGCTTTGGACTTTAATTATGTTTTAATGGATTATAAGTTGACCATGGAATGTAAATTTGAAACAAAAATTTTCACAGGATAATCAGGAAAAGCATAAATGATCCAAGTGACTTGGTTTCTAAAAGAAAAAAAGTTCCTCAAACTGCCCTTGCTGTCTGGAAAGCCAGTCGAATTGTAAATCTTTGCTGTGATTTCTCAGAGCCATTGATACCTGGTAATTTTCTATCATTATTTATTTTACGGTTCACCAGTTGTCGAATCGTTGCTAACTATATATTTTCAGCTGCTGTTTCGCAAGAACTTGTATCCCTCTTCTGCAAAAAGAAATTAAAGATTACAGTACCTGCCAAACCAGTTGCCCCTCCAGAAAAGTTAGATGCGCCTGAATCTCCAAGTGTTGTTAGGTCAGAGCAAATAGAAATTGCACCAGAAACACCCATTCTTTGCTCACAAGCAATGAAATCATTTGGGAGTCCAAAGAGCCCTGATGCTACTGATATGGATATCGTAACACCTGAGACATCTGGAAGGGTAGAGAAAGAGGAGCCACCCCTTGACAGTGAACAAGCTGCACCATCTGGATATGCAGAAGAAGTACGATTTATGGACAGGGATCAGGAACATGATTTCAATTTGTTGAATGAGGTACAGTAATGATTATTGTGTTGTGCTAGTATACCGCATAGCCATACAGCCAAACCTTTCTATTTGTTGTCCACAAACATCTTTAGAGCTCGTAACAAGCTCGCACATACCAAATTAAAAGAGCGGAAACAAGTATGTAGGATATTGATGCTGCTACACGTTATTATGTTGCATCTCATTTGGTTCCTGAATAGAACTAGTTCGTATCTTTCGTTGTTCCTTATTTTTCCTAACTTTTTTAGTTGTATCTTGCCTCAGGACATTGATTCGTACGAAGGAGTTAACCCACAACTGGGTAAGAGCCTCAAATTGATTTCATTAAGCTAAACTTCTGTTTGAGTTGTATATTTTTTGCAATAATTGAATCTTGAAACTTATTTTTGTTGCAGAGGGATTGTCAGCGAGAACAAGGTATGGTGGATCGCCCCCTTCCCCCGGGGTTAAATTATTCTTATACAAATTTTTCTTCAACATGTTGAACTTTGTGTATACAGAATTGTCGCAATGTACTTTCATAGACACTTTCCAAACTGTAAAAATCGAGGAGAGGAGAAAGTGAACTTGTTGGAGGTTTCGGATAGAAGAACTAAGAAAGAAAGTGCAAGGCTGTTTTATGAGCTACTGGTATGATCTGTCTGTACTACATGGTTTAGAATCTTCGTTTAACTACGTCCACAAGCCAGCTTCTTTTCAGTTCTTTTAGAATTCATGAACCGAAATTGTAACTTCCAAACATGCCGATGCAAAACCATGCGTAGCACATCATCATCTTTTCTTTTTCTGCAGGTGTTGAAAACTCAAGGGTATGTGAATGTGAAGCAACATGATGCCTATGGTGATATACTGATCTCAAGACGTCCGAAATGGGACCAAACGTGGGGAGACGACGATACGGACAACAAAGGCACCTCGGAAACTATGTACTTGTGTGCGTAGCATACGGAGTCCTGCATACATTGTAGATGGTGCAAGTTTTCGTAGTCGTACAGTCCCCTTGCAGCAAGTTTTTAGTTGTAAATTTAGTGTTTTTCGAAGTTTTCGTTAGAAGAATTTTAGATAGAAAGGGTACAGTAGTTGTTGGTTCAAGTTTTAAAGCTTTCTGGTGGACTCTGAGCACCCACCATTGAGCTTAGTTTTGTTGAATCTCCAATTCTGTAAACATCACCAATTTTTCGGATTTTGACAAATAAATGTTAATTCAATAGTTATTTGAATTTGTTCATCTTAATTCAGATCCAAATTTACTTTGTAAATCACTACTTGAAGATTGTAACCCAAATCGAACCGGCCTGAACCGTGCCCAGCTAAGAAAAATCTTGAATGATTGTAACAAAAATGGAACCGGTTCGAACCGTGCTCAATCTGAAAAAGATCTTGGGGAGCCGGTTTTTAACGTCATTTACGTAATGAGATCCACTCTCGATCTGTGTTCGAAGCTTCCGAAATAAGGAATCTAGACCATTCAAAGAGAAAAAGATTTGAATCGTTCAACATTTTCGGTTATTGTAAAGTAAGATTGAAATTGAATGATCTGGATCTTTAAGTTCGCATACTCCGAACACAGAGATCCGGAGTGGATCTCAATCTTGTTTAGCCTCACACAAACATTTGTATTAAATTGAATAAATCAAATAAAAACAAAGATGCGTGACACGAAAATATACCGGCTTTCATTTTGGGTCATATGCAGTGTCCATTTTTTTTTTTTTTTTTTTTTTTTTTTTTTTGAGTACATCAATATATTTTTATACTAGGGAAAAAGGGTATTCAGTTAAGCCATACAATGGGCAACCTAATTTGGTATCGAATTTACCATCCATAATGTTCGAACATAAGACCTATCACTTCCAAGTGAAGAGAAATATCACTAGACTGTAGTACTGAGTAACAGTGTCCATATGTTTTAAACTGGATGTATAATAAACCGTCAGATCAATCCAACGGCTGATATTAATCTCCAGCAATCGTGGTCTACTTCAGAGGCTTCCCGCAGCAATAGAGAAAAACCCGGTCGAAGCAACCCAACATCTTGTATTCATTTGCCCAAACCCTATACCTCCGCAGGGTTTTACAGGTCCGTCTCTTTCCTTTCTTCTGAGAATTTGAAGTGATTAAATCTTCTCGAGCTTTCTGCTTGTTTGCTTAAATCTTTGATCTGCTTTCCCAGGTGGACGATTCGCGTTTGAAAAAAGCCCGAATCGGAGAAAACGAAAGAGAGAAATGGCGGGCCAAGCAGCTGCCGCATTTAGTGGCAACATGAAGGCAATGTTTTCTTCTAATTACGTTGATTAATCGTGTTTAAGTTGTGTTTAATTGTTAATTTCTTCTTAATATGCTGATTTTATAACCTCGTGGGAGTGTGAATTAGTATATCAATGAATGCCCACCAACTGTTTGTGGGATGTCCTGAGAGAGACCTTGTGTTTAACGGAATTTGTGCTTTGATGCTCATACAGAGAGCTCTTGCTGGCCTGAGACGTATTGATCTTGACGGTCTGCGGTGGAAAGTTTTCGATGCGAAAGGCCAGGTTGGTGATTGATGTTTACAGTTATTTCGATTTTTACGGTAGCATTACTTGTAGGAATGGGAGATAGTGTTGTATTTTTGTTTACGGAATTAATTTTGGTGAATTTTTCATTCAGTTTTTAATGAATTTGAATCGAATACTTGAAGTAATAGCCTTTGCAGCGGATAATGATAACGTAAGCGTATTTTTAGGTTCTTGGAAGATTAGCAGCTCAAATATCTACTGTGATTCAAGGAAAGGATAAACCAACATACGCTCCAAACCGAGATGATGGCGATATGTGCATCGTGCTTAACGCGAAGGATGTTTGTGTCACGGGGAGAAAAATGACCGATAAGGTTTATTATTGGCATACTGGGTAAGTGCCATTGTTTTAGCATTACCATTACTTATTGTGAAAATTTTTAGTTGCTAAAACTATGGAGGGACTTCATGGGATTAACGTCATTCAATTCTTGTGCACGGTCGATCGATCTGTCCTTCGATATGATAAATATATGTCTTCATTGTAGTTGTAAATTTATCACCAAAACAACCTTGAAATAAAAAATTTAGCCTTTTTAATTCAGTTCTGAGAATCATCGAATTTACTCAGTTTTTCTATGAACGAGTGAAGGATATCAGTAGAATTGATTCCCGATGTTTCCTGAGACCCTCTAAATAAAGTCATATCCGTGATATCCGTTGGTTTTGGTACTGAATCATTTATGGCCTGTATAGGTATGTGGGTCACCTCAAGCAAAGGAATTTGAAGGATCAGTTTGCTAAAGATCCTACAGAAGTCATTCGCAAAGCTGTTATGCGCATGCTGCCGAGGAACAAACTGCGCGATGTGAGTTTTATAGTAGTAGATTTTCTTGTCTGTTATATTTAACTTTTATCATAGAATTTGTTGCTGGCGTACTGAATTCTCTCTCAATGATGCTTCAAATGGATGTAGGATAGAGATAGGAAGTTGAGGATATTTGCTGGCGATGAACATCCCTTTGCTGATAGGCCCCTTGAACCATACCTGATGCCCCCTCGGAATGTAAGGGAAATGCGACCCCGTGCAAGACGAGCCATGGTCCGTGCGCAGAAAAAGGCTGAACAGCAACAACTGGATGCTGGTGATCCACGGAGGGGGAGGAAGAAAGATAGAGCGGAAGTGACCGCATGAAGAAGTATTTGAGCTTATTTCCTGTTTCGAAAGCTGTTGGTGTATAGCTACCATATATGGGGCTTGATTCACGACTTATTTGGAGCACTTTTACTATAACTATGTTTGATGATCATTGCCTGGTCAGAATTTTAATTTTTTGTTAGAGCTGTCAAAAGTTTAGTTGTCTTGTGGAAATTGGCCGGCATTTTTCGAGTAATAATGTTTTCAGGTGATTCTTCGGATGCAGTTTCGAATTCTAATGAAAAACGATTCAGTTATTCGCCACGAATTTGTTGTTTCTTTGAAGCTTATTCTTTGGTTTGTGCTCTGTCGTCGGATGAGTTTGATTTAATCTACCTGCTTAACGATTCTTAAAAATCAAATTCATTCAATTCTTCCACTCAAGTTAACACATCAGAATCATAACCTTTCACAAACAGTGCAACCATACACGCCGTACACGAACAAGAAAGAAGCACAAACGAGTGTCATCTGATTCACTTGTAAACTCAAAAACTCTTACAGAAACCAATGCAAAAAGTTATAAACCCAAACTATTACAGAAACCAATATAAAGTTACCGGGGTTCTAATCGCTCGAGGACCCATCATCAATGTCTTCATGCTCTGTCACAACCTTCTCTATAAACCTCCTGCGAACTCCATCGATCACAGCTTGCCTCGACCGATCATTTCCACTCAGGCCATCATTAAGTACAGGATCTGATTGGCACAGAAGTAATGCCACACCTGATATTTCAGCACAGCACAGAAAAATTCGTTAAAATGAGTTTTAAGCGTTTCAATAGAACAATGGTTCACATCAAGAGCCTCAGCATACTAATCATGGACGGGATCCAAACCAAAACGATCTCATATTACAGCAAAAGGCCACAACTTCCAGTGTATCTGCTCCAGTCACCCAAGTTCCAATCCCCCTCCCCGTAGATTAGAACAACACAAAGCCTTATCCCATTAGGCAGGGTTGACTGTATGAATCCTAGAACGCCACTGCGCTCTTTTGCGCCAAGGATTTCAATTGGCGCCAAGTACTCAAACCAAAAATGCCTACTTCCTCACAGTCCATGTCAACTTGAATCCATTTCTCACAGTAATTCGTGTTCAAAACAACACATTGTGTTAACCTAATCGAGTTAAAAGCTTAAAATTTCATTGCAGACATGAGCGTAACTACATAATATGTTTCTCTATGCACTAGAGTCCGAACTCTATCCCGCCGTTTAGATTGGTTTAAAGTAAATATCACTTGTATAAAGAAAAGAAATATGAAATACCTTCAGGTGTGCATCTGCGGCCAAAGCTCTGCAAGCCGACGTAGTTAGCTTTGACATTCCCACTGTTGTACACTAAAACAGTCGGAACATTCCGATCAGGGTAGTTCGGAATGCAGTCCGTCGATATTATCTTGACGAATTTTGTAGCGGGATATTTCGTTGCCAAATCTTCCATACACTGCATCAAAACCCCGCACTCGGCGATTCCTTCTTTGTACAAAATCACAACCACCCAAACATCCGGCGGCGCCTGAGACACCTCCCGCACGAAATCCGATCCCGAAATCGGCACCACCGATCCGAACCTCGCAACTTTGGCTGCTTCTCTCAGCTCCGCCAGCCTCTTCTTCCTGTCCAAACCGCCAAATTTTTCACATTTACGGTCTCAATTTCAAGTAAATAAAGCAGTAATTAGGTAAAAAAAAAGAAAAAAAAAATTGAACTGTGAGGACCTGTATTCTTCGAGGAAGCGATCGTCGTCGAGATCGGGATTGTCCTCGAGGTCTTCGAGGTCCTGCTCGGATTTCTCATCGATCCAGGACTTGTCTTTGGGAAGGGAGGCTTCGTCCTGAGCCGGTGTGAACTTCGGCGGCTTGAACGGCGGTGGCTTCGCGGGAAGGTTCCCGAGCTTTCTCTGTATGTCGTCCCACTGAGTCGATGCTCCCTCCAAGTCCTTGTACACAAAGTGATAGTCCGCCATTTCTCTCTCTCACTCTCCGGTATTCGTCACCAAACAAGTAGATGAGAAAAACTCGAAATTGATATCTGTGGTCGTCAATGGCGTCGACCAATTTGGGAGTGAATTTCGAATTGGGGTTCAAATTCGAAGACAGAGAGAGAGGGAGCAAAACTATGAGGAGAGAAATAGGAGCGACAGCGGGAAGAGAAGGATCCAGTTCTTCCAGTGAGAGAAAAAGAGAGAGATATCCCTTCACTTTGGGCCTACTTTGATTTTTAGGCCCCGAACAAATGGGCATTTTTTAATTACTAGGCCTATTGAATGGGCTTTAGTTTGGAAGGTGATTTTTATAGGCTCAATTAAAGTGAGATAATCCTCCCTTCTCTCTTGACTATATTTTGCGTCTCACTTTACGATAGTCTGTGAATAACTTCTTTAAAACGTGACTCTAAGGCTTGTTTGATAGGAAGGACTAACTTGAATAAGAATATTCATTATATCAAAGATATTTTGAAAGCAGAAATAGATGAGAACTTCTATATTTTGTCCAACGTGAAGAGGGCAATGCGGGTTGTCTGTTGATAAGCAATCTAGTTTTTGAATATGAGTGGCGCCAATCAATGCAATCATTCTGTTAAAGTTCTGTCAAACTTCTATTCATGTGTTGACGTGTCATATATGAACTCACAAGTCGGTTTTTTAACCAAAATAATCTTTGAGCTTTGCATAACTCCTCATTTTGGTCCCTGAGATTTGAAATTAATAAAAGTGGTCCATGATATTGTCCACCATCAATCATTTTGGTCATTCGGTAAAAAATTATGTTAAACAAGGATCAAAATAACAAATATATCCTCAATTTAATAAACCGTAGGCCAAAATAATTTGACAAAAAAAATTAAGGGCATTTTTGTTATTTTAAGGAGAATTTTCATGGAAAGACCAAAATGATTGATTGTAGACAAACTCATGAACCAATTCTATTGATTTTAAATTTAAGGAGTAAAGTAAAAAGTTATGCAAATCTTAATAACCATTTTGATTAAAAAGCCCTTACAAGTCTAATCAAGATTTACCACATCAACGTATTAACAAAACTTTTGACAAAACTTTAACATAAGCATATTAATTTGCGACAATCATATTCAAATGTTACATTTATAATTTCAATTTCAAAAGACCGGAGTAACTCAATTTCAGGAGCATTTGTCATAAAACCCGACCTCTGTACAACCGAGTTTTACTCCTCGAACCTTCCCCGCTCAACTCAGCTAAATGGGCGAATCGATCCCCGTGTTTCATTGATCGTGTTTCGAATCGAATCGTACACCAAAAACACACACACCCAAACCCAGAGCGAGCTCCCGAAGCTTTCTCTCTCGTCTCCGCTCCCGGGTTCTCAGAAATCGGAAACTCGACCGGAAACCATGGAACCCGTGCAAGCTCTGGTGGCGAACATCCAAGGGCTTTCGAGCTCAGACGACATCCCGCACCTTCACGCCCTTCTGAAGCAAGCGCAGGAGTCGCTCTACGCCGAGTCGACTCGGTTGCTTCCCGTTCTCGACCAGCTCGACCCTGCCAAGCACTCTCTCGGATACCTCTACATCCTGTGAGCCTCTTCGTCACTCTTAACACTTCTGGTTTTCGAATTTTATCTTTGTATTTTTCGTTTTCGGTATTGGATGCCCTAGGATCAGTCAGACAGCGTCATGTGCAATGTGTTTGGTTATTGGGGGAGAGAGAGCGGGAACTGTGACCTAATCCACTGTTTGGTGATTGAGTAAACGATTTTAGATGCATCTTTTAATAAATTCTACGAACTCTGAATTAAGAATTCTGTCAGTGCTTGAAATTGCATTTGAGATCACAAGTTTGATTGTCGAAAGCATTTATAGCGTGTGGTTCATTTGTTTATAATTCCGCGTGGTTACTAGTTACCAGCATTTGAAAATCGGTGAAACTGACTGTGTCATGGGTTTGTGAATGCGGTGACAGGGAGGCATGCTCATCTGGTTCGATTTCAAAGGAGCAGGCGAGTGCGTTGGTCTTGCCCATTGCCAGATTTATCAATTCCTGTGCTGCAGAGCAGATTCGTTTGCAGCCTGATAAATGTATGTATTCACTATTCATCTTTACTTATTTATTCGACTTGCGTAAATGCTGTTAAACTGCACCTGTTGTTTCTCTTTCCGTTGATTTGTGTGGTTTGTAGTCATATCTGTTTGCAAGAGGTTCAAGGATCAAGTTATGCTGCTTGAAGCACCATTGCGAGGCGTGGCACCGATGCTGACAGCCATTCGGAAAATTCAGGCCTCCTCAGAACACTTGACTTCTTTGCATCCAGAGTTTCTTCTTCTTTGTTTGTTGTCAAAATCCTATAAAGCTGGATATTCTATTTTAGATGATGACATATTTGAGGTTGATCAGCCAAGGGATCTTTTTCTCTATTGCTATTACGGGTTGGTTGCTCTTTCTACGCAGTGTTATCTTTGTTTCAGTTTGCTTTCACTAAGCCCTAGTTTGGTACTGAGGTGAAATCGAAAAAATTGGCTATCAAAAAAAGCTGGGAGCTTTTTTATGTTTGATAAACATTCAGCTTCAGCTTTTTTTCACAGTTTTGGGTGAAAAAAAGCCAAAAACATGAAGCTGCAAAACCCAGCTTTGAAAACCAGCTTTTTTTCACGTCTGTTTTACCTAAAAGTTGATCAAACACCATAATACTGCTTTTTTTTTTTTCAAAAGCACTTTCACAAAAAAGTTTACCAAACACGCTGTTGCTTATTCTTACAGCACAGCAGAAAGACTTTTTTGTTTTAAAGCACAACAATACCAAACCAGCCCCTATTTTTAGTCCTTGAGGAAATTACTTTCATTTTCTTCATGGAAGTGTCCTTGCTTTGTTGTCATGTTTCACTTTGAGGATTTTGTGTTGCTCAGGATATTTCTGACTCTATTTCATGTTTGACATCATTGTAGGGGGATGATATGCATAGGACAAAAGCGTTTTCGCAAAGCGTTGGAGCTTCTTCACAATGTCTGTGATCTATATTCAGTTTTCCTTCTTATACATTTAAGTTATCTTCTATAAGAAGTTTGATTTACTTGTCCATTCTAAACCCAAATCATATTTCCCAGGTTGTAACATCTCCAATGACTGTTGTTAATGCAATAGCTGTCGAAGCGTACAAAAAGCATATATTAGTTTCACTCATTCACAATTGGAATGTATGCCTTTTCTTCTCATAGATCCATCTACCTTTAGATTTAATTTGACATCGTTTTGACTTGACGAGTTCATCTGTTTGCGCTGTAAATTTATTTGAGGATAATTTGATGATTGTTCTTTTCCTGGTGACAGTTCTCTACCAGTCTTCCTAAATACACCTCTTCAGTAGCTCAGAGGAATCTAAAGAACTTTTCTCAGGTAATGCAAAAGTTGAGCGCTGCTCTTTGCTACATGTATTTTCTTTAATGGATTACTTTATTATTTAAACCCTGATATAATCATTCATTCCATTGTAGGCTAGCATTTAAACTTACCCACTCTAATGACTTTATTTGGTTTTTAACTTTCTTTCGAGCAGCCCTACATTGAATTGGCAAACTGCTATGTCAGTGGAAAAATTGTAGATTTGGAGGCCTTGGTTGACAAATACAGGGAAAAGTATGAAAATGTGAGTTTTTTATGATGATTTCATCCTGTTGTTTTTCACTTTGGTTGTTTGTTGGATCCATGATGTCAAAGAAAAAGATGACGCAACATGATCTCTCTGTAACCTGCGAGTCTCTGACTCGAATTCTTCAGTCTTCTTAACGAGGCTTTGGAATTGTGTTTTTTTTTTCTTTTTTTTTTTTTTCCCTAGGACAACAATCTTGGACTGGTGAAGCAGGTTATATCTTCCATGTATAAGCGAAACATTCAGAGACTGACTCAAACATACTTGACTCTTTCCCTTCAAGACATAGCCAACAGCGTTCAACTAAACAGCGCTAAGGAAGCAGAAATGCATGTGCTACGAATGGTAAATCAAAAGTATTAGCAATAAAGTATCGGAATCACAAATCTTTGTATTGTACACTAATGTTATCTTTTATCAAAGTATAGATTGAAGATGGTGAGATATTCGCTACAATTAACCAGAAGGATGGAATGGTTAGATTTCTTGAGGATCCTGAGCAATATAAAACCTGTCACATGATTGAACATATTGATTCATCAATACAGAGGTAAATTGGTTGGATATCAATAAAATTTTGCATTATTCTTTTCTTTTGTCTGTGGGAGAAGCGGTGGCACATCGTTTTTACCATTTTATTTTTCTCTCCTCTCCATCCAGGATAATGGCACTGTCAAGGAAGCTGACTGCTATTGATGAAAACATCTCAACCGATCCTTTGTTCATGTCAAAGGTGAGTGAATTGTTTCCGTAGCGTTACTAAACTAGTTAGTAGTTGGTTAATCAGACTAATACCTGCATACATGTTCAGACTGGAAGAGAGCGGCAGAGATTTGACTTCGATGATTTTGATGGCGTCCCCCAGAAGTTCATTATATGAATCAAGCAGTATCACTCAACATATCGACTTGAAGTTGAGAATGGAGATGGACAAAGATGCTGCAGCACTGAAATTGTTTTTTTTGGCTACTTATTGTGCAAAGAGACGGAAGGTTCTGAGTCATTTTCTCCCAAACGAGGCAGAGGTGTCTCTGGCTACCGTCTATTTATGGAACCAATTTTGAACATGCTTTATGTTAACTTTTCTTTTGATCAGTTTTGAGCGAAGGCCGAAATTATGCATGTGCAGTGGTAAGAGAATCAACAGATTATGTGCTTGTTTGAATATGCTTTTAAAATGACTCAAAGCATTTTTGTAACCAATTCTTAGTAAAAATGCAAGTAAATTCTGGAAAAGCACTTAAAGTGCTTCATGGAAGAAGCACATAAAGTATTTTAAGTGCTTTTGAAACCAAAAAAACATTTTTTCTAAAAGCACTTCTAGTCATTTTAAAAGCACATTTAAACGAGCCTTATATTTTACATGAAAGGTATGCATATTCTGAACTCAGTAATGTACATTGAACGCAACTGGACTGGACCAAGAGGGTGGTCATCCCGATTCACATTTACAGAGAATGACCAAGATTACATCTACTACCAAAATCATCAAGGCATCGATCCTTCATTCCATTTTTGTTTCCCTTCGTTCTTTGCCCGTTTACAAGGCGGTTCTCTGTTGACACCGCATTCATCTGAAGGTAGGAAGAAAATGAATTCGGGGGAATATACGATGGGGACTGTCGGGTGGGATCATATTGTATGCTGACAAGCAAGTGGAAAGGAATTTACAGCTTACTGAATACAAATATGCCTGATTCTCTCCTCGTTGATGCCTGACTGATGGAGGGACAGACAAATATTACGGTTCTCCTGGTTGCCCTGTCCGTTGCCCACTTCCTTTGATCTATCTGCAAAAATAAATGGTTTTGGAAAGGAACTTTGTAGGCTGCATCTGTTCAACTACGAAATGTTTCTATTCTGTTAGCAATCAGAAATTAACGTTAAAGCAAACGCAATAAGGCTACGAGCTCGTTTGGATTTTAAGCGCTTTTAATGAAAATGTTTTTAGAATCAATCATTAGTAAAGATGCAAGTAAATCCTGAAAAAACACTTAAAATGCTTCTTGCAAGAAGCACATAACTGGTACTTGTTGCAGAAAATATTTACTCTAAAAGCACTTTCAGTCATTTTAAAAGCACATCCAAACAAGCCCTAAAACTCTAGAAATCCCCTAACAACAACGGATTCAAACAGACAAACGCAGTAAAACTTGTCGAGGAAACTAACACAAGTAATGTTATGTGCTTCTTGCAGAAAATATTTACTCTCAAAGCGTTTTCAGTTATTTTAAAAGCACATCCAAACAAGCCCTAAAACTCCAGAAATCCCCTAACGACAACGGATTTAAACAGACAAGCGCAGTAAAATCTTGTCGAGGAAACTAACACAAGTAATGATCACCTCTCAAGGAAACAAGACATCATATGTTGTGGAGCAGAAAGATACGGATAAACAGAGTTCGAATAGTTTTTTAGGTTCCTCACGCTAGGTTGCAGATTGTTCGGTCCAACATAATTCAACTAAAGTCATTCAATTTCCATGTATCTTTTGAAAAAATACCACTGCTTTTAAGATTCTTAGTAACATTTGTTCCCACGCACTCTCTTTCTTTGCCCGTATCCCAGCACATTCACAAATTTCCGTCAACTTAACCGCATTATGTTCTACCACTTGAACTAAATCACGTAGTGCACAGAAGTTCCATAGTCTTTCACAAAAAAGAAATTAGTTGTTTTTGCACGCAGTTCGTCCATATCAAATATAGTTGCAAAAGACAAATACATAAGCATTAAGCAACGTGCACACCTTTTTATTTCAACGAAGGGGCATGAGGAGCTGGGCATGGTGATATAGTGTCATCTGGTAACCGGTCTATCAAATCAACTACCACCTTCAGGCATGCATGGAGCATTTTCTTTTCTAGTCTGATAAGCTGTGTAGCAACTCGCTTCTTTGGATTCAAATTAGCGTCTTCCAACTGCACAGGAGTGAGAATATTAATTTGAATTCACCTAGCAATAACCTGGTATCGCAACAAATTTGACAGAGCCAAGATTACCAAAGACTCATCTTCACTCAATGTAGTTGGATAGCCAGCCAGCCGCGTTCTAAAATAATCAGCCAGTTGGTCCAACACTGCTCGTTCCATACAAGGACTCACCTAGAAGTTTATTATGTCCAGCAGCAGGACATGTCATTTATCACCATAAAAGCTTTTGCTTCATTAAAGACAAAAGACATAAAAGTTAACTTACCGGACAAATTGGACCTTGAGAAGAGATAACAGACTGCATCTCTGAAGGATCTGAAACATAGCCCAGTCGCAGATAGGGAAGTATATCGAAGACCGTTTCCTTTTCCTTTCCCACGTATACCTGAAAGCAATGAGGCAGATAAAAGAACTAATGCAGAAAATCATGTTATAACTTTCTTAAGGGAAATAGTTTTAAGTACACACCTGAAAAGTTTGTACTGATAGTTTTCCATTTCGTTGTGCAACCATTCTTTTATCTTGGTATTGTGGGTCCTCGGTATTCAAAGCTGCCTGGAACACATAGGAAATATGGGATCTTTCAAACAAACACACATTTGACATAAACAGAACTGACAAGCTTATGAAATTGTCCAGAATTTACCTCAACCACCAAACGGTCATAAGAATTATCTTCATCAATAAAACCATAGTTTATAAGCAACTTTGAATTGGGCTGTGGTCCACACCTGCAATATTTCACCAAATTACATTTTAATGATTTCTACATGGCAGTAACATGATAAGGCCACACTATAGCTACATAATCTTGAAAAATTCAAATAACATACCAAACAGCAATAGACTCCCCTGCCTTATATGGCCTATCGACCACTAGTTGAACAGCGCCATCAATAGCTGTCAACATTGCCCTACAGTTGCTTCCATAAGCTAACAATGGGGGCCCAAGAGGAACCAAAGCAAATCTCTGAGCCAAACTAACTTTCTGCGTTGGAAAGGGGAAAAATATGTAAGAAATCCAGAGGGCTTGATTTAGAAATGCACGGCACCAAGAGGGATGTGTAGCCCTTAAGAAACTATTTATACCCTTTTTCTTATTTTTGTGTGAGTTAATTGTAACAAGAAAATATATTACCGATGGAATGAAGAACTTACCTGCAAATGCACTACACAAGACTGAACTGCAACAAAAGCTTGTTTGAATATCTCAAATGGGAAGGCCTCCGTAGGAATGTCATATGGGTATTGCTGTAAAATGAAGTAAATTTAAGTCCATATCATTGGCTACAACAACACTAGTGTCAGTCAAAGACACTTGAGTAATACCTGAAATAGGGAACCAGCCATAAACCAGACCGTGTCAAGCTCATTATATTCCCTTTTAATTCCTTCGGCCCTTGCATGAACGTCGGCCTGATTCATCACCACAAGAAAGTAAGCTAGAACATTTTGAATTACGGAAGAATTCCATAACTTTAACAGAAGCATGTACAGCGATTGTAGCATAAGATACCTTTGTGGGGCTTCCTGTAAGATAAGCCAGTTCCGCTTCTGACCATAAAAGGGGTGACTCCACCGCTAACTGACCCCTCCCTCGCTGACGATCAAGCTCTCTTATATAGGGATACCAAAATGACTTATTTCCTTGTTTCTTCTCATACATCAGATACAATGCCAAGCATGCCAATTCCGATAATTTGTTCGTAGTTAATAATTCAGCTGCAAAATAAAACAAGCAAAATACACATTATGTATCCCATTGACTACGAACATTCATTAGAAAAGTCGAGAAATCGAACAATAAACAACGCACATTACCAAGTGTTTCGTTCCCTAACACTCTCTTCAGAGTCACAACTAAGGAATCCGGCACCGAAAATGCGACATCACCAACCTAGCAATTACAACAATTCAAAGAACACAAGAATCAAAACCCATCCCCAAGAAACTCAAAGTACTAAAACCCAATGAACTTTATGAATTAAATTACAGAATTTCAATCTCAAAAATTTCAGTCTCATCACCTCAAGATCTTCGCTTGCAGCAACGTAGTGAATGGGCCGGAGCTTCTCGTCGTACGAAGGTTTCTCCTTGAGCACGACCTTGCAAGGAGGCAGCCCGTTCTTGTGCATCCAAGATTTCAAGTCTTCCTCCTCGTCTTTCTTGCTCACGACCTGACTGTGCTTGCCGCCGTCCTCCTTCCGCGACCCAACCAACGTCTCGGAGCTGGAGGCGGAGCACAGATTTCTCTGGCGAATCGATCTGAAAGAAGGTACGGACCTGAGGAGCCTGGTCTTCCGAGGCGAAATTGAAACAAGGAGAGGGCGGTGAGAGGAGGAGGACGAGCCAACACTCTCCAAGCAAATGCACCGGTGGTGCCGAGGACTGAGCTCCATGGCGGAGGGGTGGGATTTGAACAATTCACAGAGAGAGAGAGGGACTGAGGAGGAATTGGAGGGATAAGAGCACGGAATTTGGCACCGTAAATCCGATTGGAGGGAAACGAAGATACCGTTTGGTGGTGTTTTGTGGTCTCACACTCACAGCTGGGAACTTGCCATAGGACGATTTGATGAACAAACAATTTAATTTTTATTATTTGAAAATTTTGAAAACAGAAGAGTACGTCTATTATATTAATAAAAGTTAAAGAAATTTTATATAATAACATATAACGTGTGTTCGTTTTCGAACATACTGAACAATCTCTATGATATTTTACTGTTGTATTTATTTGTCTCAAGATCTTAAATATTGTCTTATTTAAGCTTGATTAATTAAAATGATTAGAGGAGGTAAATGTTTTATCTTCCCTAAATAAAAGTTCTTCAAATACCATTAGCACTTCTAAAATTCACTTTTTAGGTGACCAAGCATTTGCGTCTTGTAATAATTGGACTTCACACGAGTATTGCATACTCTAATACTTAAAAGTTCTAATTTTAAAGGGCTTTATCTAAAATAGTTTTTGAGATTGACATAACTTTTCATTTTGATCCATGCCAATGAAAATCAATAAAAGCGGTCCATGAGTTTATCCACCGTAAATCATTTTGATCATTTCGTGAAAAATTTGTCAATATCCTCGTTAATTGTCACGTGAATCACATGACCACCTTTTAAAGAGTATTTTTTGTCAAATCAACTCCTCTCTTAACGAGAATATTGATAGATTTTCATAGAAATACCAAAATGATTCACCTTGGACAAACTCATGAACCACTTCTATCAATATTCATTATCAGGACTGAAGTAGAAAGTTATGTCAAATCTCAAAGATCATTTTAAATAAAAAGCCAATCTCAAGTCAAACACGTTAAGATAGCACACATATAACTCTTGATAAACCTATGCAAAGTGTCATAAGGTCCATAACTATAAACGCAATGTCAGATTCTCTGGATATGGGCAGTTGGGAGTCTTACCCTTTGTTGGCTCGGGTCAAGCAACTTGGGTTTTGGGGGGGGGGGGGGGGGGGGTTGGGGTGGTGGGAGAAGTTCCAGAACTGTCGCTGGTCTTGGGTGCCTAGATCAGCTAATGGTGTGGCGCATGAGCTTGCGTCAGTTGGTTTTTCGAAGATAAGTGATGTTGTTTGGGTCGATCGGCCCCCATCTTCGTTGATCTTTGTTTTGAACAATGATGGTCTGCCATGTCCACATTAAGTTTGTTGTGGTGGTGATTGGGGTGACGCTTCCACTCGGTGAAGGGGTCTTAATGTCCTACCCCTTTTCACTACTTGTATGTCTCCTTGGTGTTTGCCTCTCTGTGGGCTTTCTTGTTTTTCTTTTGGCTTCTTTGCCTTGGCTGTTTTCCCTTGTTTCCAAAAAAATAAAATAAAATAAAAATAAACACAATGTCAAACGAACCCAAGTCCTCGAACTTCTCTTGTCCTAACATTGCACAGTCCACTTTGCAAAATAACTCTAAACCGCTATAATTATAAAAATAAAATAAAAAATAGAGGTAACTGGAGCCATGGTCTTTTAATTTCTCAATTTTAGAAATTTAATTTCTGAATTAATTTTTTTTATGATTATGTGAACTTGTAATAATGTTGAGCAATGATCATTTTGACTTTCTTAGAATTTTCATCAATGTTTTGCCTCCTTTAAACTCTTTATTTTAGACAGAAGTTCTAACGAACTTAGCAAAAAAATACTATTGCTCCACATTATAACAAGTTCAAGAACTAGTACTCACAAATTTTTAGTTCAGAAGCCAAAGCTCAAATTGAATCAAAGTTCGGGACTATTACTCCAATTTTCTCTAAAAAATAAATATAAAAATAGCCAATACACTGTAAATGCGATTGTCATAGCTACTCACCTAGTGAATGAAAAATGAAAGGCAAATTTGATTACTCACAGTTTTCGTATATAATTGCGAACACAAGTTCGAAAGTAACATCTATCGAACAACGATCTAGGTAGAGAAAAAAAGATCGACAAAAATGATCCGATTAGCAACCAAGGAGGTGTGAATGGTTGAGGTGACAAAATTGGACTACAAACGCAACTTGGCCCTAAACATATCTCCAAGGACCTGCCTAGGCTGTGGATTATCCGGTCCCCTGTCCCGCTGTCCAGACGTGAAATACAAGTAACCGTTCCAGAAACCGGTGCACGTGGTTTTTATCCGGTAGGGAAGCCTTCCGATCACTGACCAAGTCTGCAACATATAAGTAGACCGAAGCACAATGAATGATTTGTGATGTAAAGTTTCTAGTGATGGGAGAAGAATAGTACCATGGTGTCTAAGCGAAATTGGAAGACCTCGCCTACGAGGATCATCCTTTTGGTCACCGGGTTCTTTTCTGTTGTTCCGCCGGTGATGATGATAGAATTGTTGACAAGTACCCAAGAGCTCTCTATGTGAGAGTCTGGTTTTGGCATAGGAGGTAAAACTTTCCATTTCATTTCGTCATCCAACATATAAACGTCACCGTAAACCACCTGAAACATTAAGTACCGAGGCTGTAAGAGGATAGTAGCATGGATTAAGTCATGAACATTATGGCTAGCTGATAAAATCCAAGGACGGTAGATGGTCTAATGAACACGCGATAATACCTCGTGCCTGCGTGAACATTTGAAAATTGGTGACCCAGGCTTGGGCATAAAATCACCCTCTTGACCACCAATTACGAAAAGGCGATCATTGTACACTACACAAGCCCTGTTAGAAGATTGATTATCATGATTAGAAGACAGTAAAACGAACTCACGGGATTCAAGTTTTTCTGAGAGGAAAATTTTGAGGTGATTAAAATTGATGGCAATCCAAATATCAGGGGTACTCAAGAAACCTGTGAGGTCCCCCGCGTGGTATGGGTACTTCTTTCCGCCACACTTTCTCCAATGCTTTTCCATCCTTCACACCAAGACTCCAGTGCTCTGTGCCGGGTGTATGGCGGTTTTCCTTGCTGCCACCCATCACATGGAGTCTGCCTCTCCACAGTTGAGTTGCTGGAGCATACCTGCAAATTCTCTTGTTAAATTAACCATATGCAGATAAAAGAAGATATCATCCGACTCAATAAACCAATGTATTTTGACCGAGTACGGCGTAGCATGATTGACACAAGACTTAACCAAAATATATATACCGAGGGGAAGGTAATGGGGGCAAACTGCTCCATTTCTTTGTCTCCGTGTCCAGCACAAATGCACGAGCTGTGGGCCCTCGGCATTGAGGACCATATTGGCCTGATACCACATATATGTATCTTCCATCAGTGATCACTCCCAAATGGGAATGCGCCATCTCTTTCGGAGTATCCAACCTTCCCACCCATGTGTTGTCAGTGAAATTGAATATATCAACATGAGAGTGCACCTATAACGACAAGGCACACAACATGAACAACAAAACCAAAAATTTGAAAGGAACATCACATTGCACTATTGAATCGGTTTAAATTCATCGGGCATTCGAACAGAAAAGCGCAAGATAGATAAAGATCCTCACATAGTCAATAGTTCCATATCCCGCAAACACGTAAAAGAGATTCTTAATCTGAGCTGAAGCTCCGTCTAGACGAGGCACGGGTGCTGGTGGCATAGGCTCCCATGGTAATTCAGGTGCAGCTATATCAGCAAAAGTTCCAGACAATAACCTCTGCGGAGCACGTTCCTTTGTTTCTTTCACAACTCCTTTCTGCATATGAGTAAAAAATTCATAACCATCCAGCAACTACCAAAATACAAAACCAGAAAACCCATTTGTATATGGGAAACAGTAAAATTTCAGATATTTACCAACTACCCAAATTCCAAAACAACATAAATTAAATGTCTCAAGCATAAATTTTCCATCTTTTTCTTCCAAATTCCCAAAACCCCAGATTCAATTCGAAACAATGTGGCTGAAAATTCAATTCAAACTTCAAAAACACAAAAAAAAAAAAAAAATCCAAATGGGTATCAGAAAAATGGGCATTGATGCAATTGGCTCACCACATTAGCTTCATTGGCGGTGGCATCTGGTACAACAAAGGTCCCAGCTTTATCAAGCACCAAATTAGAAGCAATCAAGGAATACGCAGAGGAAGAATAGGAAGAAGAAGCCCAGAGGAAATCTGCAGCGAGCGCCACTCCGAGCAGAACCGCGCAAGATGTGAGAACTACCCATTTGGCCGCGGAAAAAGGAGAATGATGAGTTTGATCTGGGGCCGTAAATCTTGTCATTTTTCATCGGAAGCCATGAATGCGCAGGAAAATATTTATAGAGAGTAAAGGAGTGATTGGAAGAGGAGAAAATCGTCGAAGATTCTGAGGAGCAAAAGAGTTGGGCGCCAATGGTTTCCATTCACTTTCTCATGTGCCTTGGCGGCCCCTTGGCTAACTGTTTTTTCTTTCTTTCTGGTTTTCATTTTTCGAATTAAATTAGCCTATTCTTCTATTTCTTAGATAAATAACATCGTATGTATCTAAAAAAATTTAAATAAATAAATAAGAGTGAGCATAAATGTAAATTTGTGTACAAAAGTCATTTCTTTATTGACTATTTAGGAACTGGATTTCCTTTCGGACCCAAATAAACTGAGTCTAAGGATTAAAGAATTTAAGCAGTTGGAATTTAATCCAACGGTTACAATTATTATAACTTTTAGAGAGACTCTTTATTTGGAGCCGTTGAATCAAATTTTAACGGTTCAGATCCTTTATTCAGGTCCTTTATTCCGATTCCAACTATTTATATCTCATATTTTGACGTGAGACGGCTACGGACGGAAGCACCCCTACACAAGTTTTTCTCTTCTCATGGTTGGTCTACATTGTGTTTTATTTCTTACAAGCAACGTCCAAAGCCCTAACAGGCCATCCATAATAAGCCCACTCTGTACCATAGGCATAGGTCCAGTCGAACTTCAAGTCCATATTCGACATTGACGAAGCCCAACGTTTGGAAATGATAGTACAATTATAAGGAAATGAGATTCTAGAGCCCGCAAATCGAGAAATTTGGACTGTTCAACAGAGAGAAAGAGATACGAGATGTTCAAGTTTTTAGATACTTGTACAAATAACCAGTAAAATGGGTTAATAAAGAGCATAAAATTGAAATTAAGTAATCCGAATCTCTCAATTTGCGAATTCTGGACTCCGAACAAAAAACCCGGAATAGATGTCAATCCCAATTATAATTCGAAAAGGACCGTCTCTCAAGAGAAACGAAGACTTGCGGCCGAAAAACAGGAAACCGTGGCGCGGAATTAACCAACGATTACGAAAAAAGCCCACCCCAAAAACAGAACCCGCTGGGTCCCACAAATGGGCCAATCAGCCCACCAGAACCAATCACGCTACAACGAATGAGATTAGAGAGAGAGAGAGAGAGAGAGAGAGAGGGCGTGTGGTACAAAGGCGTCGTTCCCCATTTTCTTAAGGTCTTCAGCTGCTTCTTCCTCTCCTTCTTCCTTTGGATCTCCGAGCTCCGGCGGCTCCTTGACCTTCCCATCCCGGAATCCAACCGCCGTCCGACTGTGAGTTCCTTCAATCTCTCCCTCTCTTTCTCTCTCATTTTTGTGCTTCCCTCAACCCTCCTCAGATCTGCGCTCTCCTCTCGACTTAGGGTTCGTATCTGTATGTATTTATGCTTTGTTATCGTTGCGCCGGTCAAAGCTTTTAACTTTGTGATTGTTCCAATCGAGAAATGGTAGTCGATTACGAGTATCAGTAAGATAAGCTTACGATTGAAAATTTGATTTCCGTTTTGCGCCGGGATTCTGTTTCGGTGATTGATCTTACGGTTGTGTTAATTCATATTAACTCTTAGAATTGGCAAAACCGAGCCCAGTGACGTTCTAGCATTCATACGGCTGACCCCAGTTAATGGGAGACAAGGCTTTTGTTGTTGTAGCGCTTTGGACTTATTTTTGTAGTCGTAATTGTGCTAGTATGGATGAGCAGTTGAGAAAGAGTAGAACTTTTGTGCCTCCCATTGCTCAATTGGATGTTTTGTTTTAACCAATGAGTCGATTTTTTTTTTTTTTTTTTGTTTTGGTAACTGGCAGGAATATTGACTGAAATGGCTGGAGGAGCGATCCGCCAGTTATTGAGGAGGAAGCTTCAGTCTCAATCTACTGTAAGAATCTTTGTCCCGCCTCGGTGCCCTTTTCGTTTGTCTTTTTGGGCATTCAACATTTCCAGTCCTTTTTGTTTACTTACTTGGAACTTTATGATAACATCCAGATATAGTTAGGCTTATGATTTTTCATTTGTGAGTCATGTTTGCTTCTTAGAGTAAATGACATTCACATTTAATGAAGAGAAAGAAAACAATCATTTAAGTCTCTCTTTACCTTTTCTTTTGTGGAAATATCGTAAATTTCTATTCGAGATTAGCATAATAATGGTTGTTGTATGCTACTTGATTGCAGGCCTCTCCATTATTGGCTTCCCTAACACATAAGAAAGATGATGCTGGGTCTGCGGGGACAAGGTCTCTCAGAGCACTTGCGCTCCTTGGAGCAGGTGTTTCAGGACTGTTAAGTTTTGCAACTTCTGTTGCATCTGCGGATGAGGCTGAACATGGATTAGACAGCCCACACTACCCCTGGCCTCACGCAGGAATCCTTAGCTCATATGATCATGCTTCGTAAGTTCAAACAGAATCCATGACACGTGTGTGTGTGTGTGTTTTCAATTATTTATTTCTTGTGAATACAAGTTTTTTACAGGATGCAACTGAAGCTTAATGGCGTCAAATCTTATAATATATTGAGCTTCATTGGTTTTTGCAAAATGTTTTGGGTTATATGTCTGGCCCTGCACTCTGTTGTTCCCCCAAGCAAGAATCCCATACTTATTTTCTATCTGAAATGTTGTATCATAATGTGGGTTGTTGATGGTTCAAGTTCAATTCTACTTGCAGGATTCGTCGTGGTCATCAGGTTTACACACAAGTCTGTGCATCCTGCCATTCCATGTCTTTAATATCTTACCGTGATCTGGTGGGTGTTGCTTATACCGAAGAGGAGACAAAGGCTATGGCAGCTGAAATTGAGGTAACTGATGGGCCTAACGATGAGGGTGAGATGTTTACTCGCCCTGGTAAACTTAGTGATCGATTCCCGGAGCCATATGCAAATGAGCAGGCAGCTAGGTTTGCTAATGGTGGAGCATATCCTCCTGATTTGAGTCTTATTACAAAGGTACTTGCAGTCTTCTGCTAATGAATTCTTATTGATTTGTATTTTTTATCTCCCGTGGAAATATCTCACCCATGTCCTTTCAGGCTCGTCACAATGGTCAGAATTATGTATTTGCCCTTCTCACCGGTTACCGTGATCCTCCAGCTGGTGTTCAGGTAATTTTTATTCATATATTTATTCTGAAAAAAATTGTGGATGTCATGAAAGCTTACATGTTTATATGAATTTGCACTATCCTGATTTTGTACTACTATTGCAAAATGTATATTTAGCCTTTTACGGACCCAACTATTATCCCATCTATTTTTGAGTTATGACTAAAATGGAAATACCATTTCGTATGCTTGTTGGCCCTCTGGTCCCTGTTGTACTGTTGTCATTGCTAATTTGTTGTTCGGCTGTGAGTGTCTGGTATTTGCATCAATGTCAGTGTTGTAATTCATTAGATTTTTTTTTTTTCTTCTTTGAGGGAGTAATTAGATTAGATTTGAACGGTGAACATCAATTTGGTGTTTAGCTCCATGTTGCTGAGAATTATGTTTGTGTATGGAGTCCGTGGATTTGTGGTTCTATGAAATGGCGGTGATGTCATGTAATTCTTATCAACTGCAAAATTTTCTCTGGTCTTTGTAGATCCGAGAGGGCCTGCACTATAATCCATACTTTCCTGGTGGAGCAATTGCCATGCCTAAAATGCTTAACGATGGTGCTGTTGAATACGAAGATGGTACTCCTGCAACTGAGGCTCAGGTTGGTTTACGATAGAAGTATCTGTATATATAGCGTGTGAGTCTTATTTTCTGAATGGTTGCCCAAACTAATCGAATATTGCTATGTTGCAGATGGGGAAAGATGTTGTATCATTCTTGACATGGGCTGCAGAACCAGAAATGGAAGAGAGGAAACTCGTAAGTTTCATTATGCAATCTCCCTTATTGACATTGTTGAAAGCCGGAAACTATTTTATATCCTGACACGATGAGTCTTGAAAATGCAGATGGGATTCAAATGGATCTTTGTTCTCTCGCTGGCGCTACTTCAAGCTGCATACTACCGGCGCTTAAAGTGGTCGGTTCTCAAGTCCCGCAAGCTGGTTCTTGATGTTGTGAACTAAGCCAACCCGCCATACTTTGGTTTCCTTCAATGTTTTGCTTCCGGCGAGGACCTATTTTGGAAATAATTTTTTCACATTGTAATCATAGGCTTTCGTTTCTTTCCTTGTCAAATTGGCTCGAATCCGAAATTAGTGATGGAGTTGACCCTAGGAGTGTCATTTTAAGAGATATAATAAAGCTACTCCATACAGATGGAATATTTATGTTTTTTCCATGGGCATGTGAATTTTGATCAAATTTTCTCTTAGTAACAAAACTCATTTTGTCAACCGAAAGAGCGTAGACCTCTATTCACAATTCATTAAAGATATCAGAAAAAAAAAAAATGATGGGCATAAATGTAATTTTGAATAATTTTTTTCGTATCTACCTTGATGACGTTGATGGTATCTCACTCATCACGAAATTTGTATCTTGATATTAATGTATCTTTGTCCCTTGATACTAAGTGGCGGTGTTACCCCGGTCATCTCCCTTTCGTTCTAGATAGCTAATAGTGCATTGGAAATCAAGGTCATAGCATGTCCCACATGTAACATAAAATTAACAATAAAATCAGCCGACAGACGTGGTTGCAACTACATTAGCTAGAACGGTTATAATACCCAAAAAAACAATAAAACCAATGCTTTGGCGAAAATGGGCTCCCTACTTACAAAGATGTTAGGGTCCGTTTGATGGGTTAAATGAGATTAGGGTTTTAAGATGTGATTGGATTGACACGGACACACATAACTCTGTCAGGCCTTTAGTCTTTATATATCCCAATTCAATATTCAAAAGTTTGGCACCATGTTCAACAAAAGTTCGTGTGGGATGAGATGAGATGGTGGTTATTCACAAGCAAGAGATTAATGACTGGGTGATGAGTTTGTCAAACATAATTGAGTTAAGTGGTATTTAAATCAAATATATCTTGCAATTGACTCATTGCCCTTATCAGTCATAGGACCCACATGGCAACATTATTTACTGGATTTTTTTACGGAACAATTAAAATGATTAATGGACGACAAATTCAAAAATCACTTCTATGAATTTCAAAATCTTAGAGACTAAAATGAGAAATTAAACAAATCGCAGTTACTTTGACTGCAGTTATCGTAAGACAATGAAACTTTCTGTATTGTTTTCTTATTCGATACTGAGAGAGTCAATAAGAGAGAAAAACACATTAAATTACACGATACGTCATTAAATTATATGACATGTGGCATTTTTGAAGATACCCCTTCGCAGTTCGAATTCGAACAAACAAGAAAAAAAAACCACTCATACTTGGTACGAAAGTAAGAGACGATAAAAGAATACGCATTACGTAATAAAAACGAGTATGAGAATAGCAATGTCCTAACATTTACTAAAATTTGAAACTTGCGTTTGTCTGAGACTGAGACAGTGTCACCTCTCATAATATTACACGCGTTGACACATCATGAATTCTTGGAAAAGGCACGTGGTCCACTCTGACCACCCCTCCAATCAAGTTGTATTGTTTAACCAACATCTTGGGCCGCAACCTCACGCGCTGCCAGCCCACAGTGCCACCCACATTCCTCAACTATTATGAAAGGCCATTTTACTTGTTTTGACTAATCTGGTTGGTACATGTGTGCACATTCCCCAACCTTTCTCAATCACAAGTAGTAGGAAACCCCAATTTCCACTTCAGTTGGATAAAATGCGCCGCCGGTCTGTTGTTATCGTTTTTGTGTGTCCCTTTTAATTGTATGTGTCCATCCACTTAAATCGAAACTCAACGTCCGTAAGTTTAAATATATGAGGATGTGGTGGAGACAGACGAGGCGGTGGTGGTGGTCGAAGAAGAATTCGGATTCTTGCTGGATTATTTTTATGAGGATTTCGGATATTTATAAATTGTGTTCGTTCATCGTATATTATGCAATTAGAAATCATTTTAAATTAATTTATTTAAAATTAAACATAAATAGTATCTGATAAAAATTAAGTTTGGCATCATGTTGAACAAAAGTTAGTGTGAGATGAGATGAGATTGTGGTTATTCACAAGCAAGAGATTGTTGACTGAGTGATGAGTTTGTTAAATATAATCAAGTTAAGTGGTATTTAGATCAAATAAATCTTGCAATTGAATCATTGCCCTTATCGGTCATATGACCCACATGGCAACATTATTTACGAAATTGTTTTACGGAATAACTAAAATGATTAATGGTGAACAAATTCAAAAATCACTTCTATCAATTTCGAAATCTCAGAAACAAAAATGAAGAGTTAAACCAATCTTAGAGACCATTTTAGATATTAAAAAAAAAAAAAAAAAAAAAACCCTCGTTTGTAAGTGGCGAAATATCATGTGGAAAATGGGTTACTTTGACTGCAATTATCGTAAGACAAGGAAACTTTCTGTATTGTTTTCTTATTCGTTACTGAGGTAGTTAAGAGCATCTCCAAATGAGATGTTAAAAGATAGTCAAATGTTAATTTGATGGCTAACGTGACAATGTTAGATTTTCTCTACTTCCAACTGATATTTTTTTTGTTATAAATGATATTTGTAGGATTCATTTTAAAAATAAATCAATTAAAATAAATTTCAAAGATTTATAATTTGTGCATTAATGAGACCCACACAATAAAATAATTAAAAATAATTTGACATCACATTTTCTCATATGTCAAATTTGACATATGAATGACATATGAAAATTCATATGTCATTCCACATGGGATTGACATATCGGTTGGAGTTTGCTCTTAACTTCAAATTTAATTATATAGCACTCTACTTAGGATTTGACATATCCTTTAGAGATGGTCTAATAAAAAAGTAAAACACGTTAAATTACACAATATGTCATTAAATTATAAGACATGTGGCATTTCTGTATGTACTCGCTCGCAGTTCGAAGTCGAACAAACAAGAAAAAAACAACTACTCATTCTTAGTAGAAAAGTAAAAGACGATACGACCAAAAAGAACGTGCATTGATTAATAAAGCGTTATGCTATCCATATATTTTATTTTACTTTTTACATGCTTTTTAATAATTTTTGTTTGTTAATTTTTTTTCAATTCATCTAATTTACGATCGAAAATTAAAAAGACGTGTAAGAAGAAAATAAAATACGTAAATATCACATCCTTTAATAAAAACAAGTATAAGAATAGCAACTTCCTAACCTTTACTAAAATTTTGAAACTTGGTATATAAAAGGTGATGCGTTTGTCTGGGACTTTAGATAGGGGCACCTCTCATAACATTACACGCGTCGATACATCATGAATTCATGGAAAAGGCATGTGGTCCACTCCGACCACCCATCCAATCAAGTCGCACTATTTAACCAACATCTTAGGCTGCAACCTCACGCGCTGCCGGCCCATAGTGCCACCCACATTCCTCAACTATTCTGAAAGGCCATTTTACTTGTTTTGGCTAATCTGGTTGGTACACGTGTGCACATTCCCCAACCTTTCTCAATCACAAAGTAGGAAACCCCAATTTCCACTCCAGTTGGAGAAAATGCGCCGCCGGTCTGTTGTTATCATTTTTGTGTGTCTCCTTTTTAATTGCATGTGTCCATCCCCTTAAATCGAAACTTAACATCCTTAAGTTTAAATATACGAAGATGTGGTGGAGACGGACGAGGAGGTGGTGGTGGTTGAAGAAGAATTCAGATTCTCTGTGTGAGAATTTCGAAGATTTATAAATCTTGTCATTTCATCTTACATCGTACAATTAGAAATTATTTTAAATTAATTTATTTAAAATTAAACACAAATAGTACTTGACAAAAATTAATCGCACAATATATAATGAACGGACACGATTCACGAATTTTGTTGGGTTGAAGAAAAGGTAGACAGCAGAATGGGGGTTGAAGGTGGGTCATGTGATGGTTAGACTTCGGTTAGAAGACAAAGAAGGGGTAGTGGATGACAAAAGTGTGGTGGCCACCAGAGTCGTGTGAGGGATTTGAATGGCTCCTATGTTCCCCAGTCTTCTATTTTTAGTTTTTATTATTATTTTATTTATTAACAGTGTTACTTTCTTAGTTAATTAGTGGAACACGTGTTCAACAATTAGAAAAGAGACACAAAAGAAACACAACAAGAAGGATAGTGTAACCTTAATCGAGAAAATTATACTTTCTCCAAACCTGACTCCACGTGTCCCTCCTTGGCCAACATGTGGGTCCAACTTCAGAACTCAGAAATCAATTACACCACGAGTATCGAAAGAAGCTTATGTATGAACAAGTTCACCGTCACGTGGAATTTCAATCTAATAATATCTTGTTATGTTAAAAAAATAAATTTACACATGATATAATTTGGATTAGGAACCTATAGCGATTATAAATTTGTTCCATATCGTCTTTCTTCTTGTATATGAGCAAGTTTTCACTGTATATTATATATTGGGGTGATACTGTTGAGATCATTTACTTAAATTTTATTTTGTTGATCATGGATGTTTGGTTGTATTTCTTCTTTATTAAATCATTAAAAAAAATGTAACCATTAACCGCTCGTCATGTGTCTATATAATATAGTTTAAAAATATAGTATCTCTAACTTGTTTTTTTATATTGTATGTATTAACATGTGTGTTTGTTTTTAAGGTATCTTATAGATAAGACATTACCAACCGTTTCTGTTCAACATTTATTACAACGCGTAGAATAATATAGCACACGTATTATGCGTTTCATATAAAAATTTCTTGCTAGATACGCCAAACTTTAGGCGGGCCCTACGGGGAAACGAATCAGCCAATGGGTTGTCAAAACACAGTTGGAATGGTGCCCTAGACACGTGGTGGTTCCTCACCCAGCCACCACGCTCCTGCTATGATTATCCCTTCTGCCCTCCGGAGAGAGAGATATTGAGAGAAAGGAGGAGAGCGAAAGACAGAGATCTGGCATCCGCGGGAGAGGAGAGGAAGATCGTGCGAGGAGGGTGGATGGACGCCAGAGATGGATGGCACGTGCCATATGGTGAGACTGGTGCTCTGGATAAGGCGATAATCAACCGCACAATGATCAGATTCCGGCCGATCGCTCCGAAACCGGCGGATGGCGGCTCTTCCTCCGGTACGACTTCGGCGGATGGTAAAACCGTTCTTAGTGCAAGCAAAAGAGTCAAGAGGAAGTACATTAGGGTTGCAAAGAACCCTAAAAATAATAACAGCGCCAGAAAAATAATAAACAGTAAATCTTCCGCAGAAGATAATCCGACGGCTGTAGTCACTCTTCAGCTGATGCCGGAAAAAACAGACCCGAGAGATTTTTCAGGTAGTGGATCTTGGTGTACTACCGTTGATCCTACGGTTGTTAAAACATCGGATAACAGGGAGTTGCCTACGTGGATGACCCTAAACCCTAAGATGAACTGGTCCGTCTGGAACGCGGACACACGATCCGGCACAGATAGTACGGCGGTGGTGCCTCGGCTGGCGGCGGTGGACTCGTGGGTGACGGTGGAAAGCGTGACAGACACGTGCATGGTTGTACGAGGTTTAGGTTGCACGGACGTGGAGAAACTGAAGAGTTTGGATAAAGACACGTGTCCGGGGTTTATATCTGACGGTTTTAACAGAGTGCAGTGGGTGAACGAGGCCTACAAGAGGATGGTGAACTACGTGGAGGGGCAGTCGCCGCCGGCGGAGGCTGGGGTGTGCCTGGCTACGAAAGAGAGCCTGCCGTATACTCACCCAGCGTTCAGTTGCCGGGTGAGGCTGCAGTACTACACGAGGCAGAAGGAGAAGTGCTCGAACATGGTGCCGTGCGATGTGTGGAGGATGGAGTGCGGGTTGGCTTGGAGGCTGGACATCAAGGCGGCGCTTAGTTTGGGTCTGTGAACCAGAAGCAAAGCTGGAGTGGACAAAATACAGATCAGGTATATGTTTATTAATTCTTGTTTCTATATATATCTAATCTTTGAATAAAGCAAACTACTAAAACGATGGAAAGAAATGAGAGGAAAAGAAGTTCAAACAAAGAAATAATATGCAGAGAGAAAGAAAAACGTGGCTCCTCTCGTTGAGCCATGCATTTTCGGTCGCAGGTGTGCTTTCCAAACTTCGTGTCTCTTTCGTGTTTTTTTTTTTCAAATTGCTTAACAAGTGTCTTTCAACTACCAAAGGGTTAATACTGTTAACTTCATAAGTTTTCATTAAAAGTAGAGTTCCCAAAAATTCTTTGTGCACACCCACCTAACCCCTGTCGGCAAAACATCCTTTCTCTCTCTCTCTCACAAACACACAGACACAGAGACTACAGTGCAATATTTTCAGCCAATGATATAGACACAACTTCTATTCACAAAACGCAAGCATTATAACTGTGTGCGCGTCTATACCTGGACAAAATTAAGATGCGAAAAATCGAGAGCAACGATACATGCGGATTAATTCCATCGTTTTAGAAATGGAATTGAGTCGGCCGATGATTGAAAGCGAATTGATTCATAGCCTGCGAAGGCTACGATCTGAATCGGAGCCAGACAATTAGAATTGGGGCTGATGAGGTTGGAGAGACAACGATCTTGTTTCTGTAAGAGCAACGGATGTGTCTTCGATGGTTGAATCCATATGAAACCCAGAGAGAGGGGCTTGGTCAGTGTTGACGAAGATAAGAAGAAGTTGTCGCGAGGTGGGTTGTTTGTGGGTTTGGGCGAAACATAAGAATGGATGTGTCTCTGATGGTTGAACCCCCCTCGCCGACGACTTCTCCTTTTTCTTTTTTAATTTCCAATACAAACTAATAAATTTAAAAGTGCAAGCTTTTTAATAAGTTGAAAGACACATGTGAAGCAATTAGATAAAAAACGGAAGAGACAAAAAATTCAGGGACAGCAGACCTGCGACCTTCATTTTCTTATTATGAGAAGTTTTCATTTAGAACCCCACCTATTATTAACTAGTAATTGAACTTGATTCTAGTTTTATAAGAATCAAATTCTTATAGTGGATCAGAAAATTTGAGTTTAAAATGAGTAATTCAAACTTATGCGTTCAATATATAAGTTTGTAGTCGCTTAATACTATTGTTTAGTGATATTTTTTTTCACTTGTAAGGACAATCATCTAGGCATTCCTCCAATAGCTTATAAAGTAATGCCATACACCCTGATCTACCAAACATAAGCATCTCTCCAACTTAGTAAATTAATCTTACATAAATAAAATACAATACAATACTCTCTCTCTCTCCCCACCCTCCCGTGTTGGAATAGGATTCTATTCGGATTCTCTTTGTGAGGATTCTGAGGGTCACTTCATCAAGTTCGTTCACCTATCATCCTTCGGTTAGAAATCATTTGAATTTTTTTATTTAAAATTGAACACAAATAGTGATGAGAACTAGTTATACGATGTACGATGAACGAACATGATGAAGTGATCTCCAGGATCCTCACAAAGAGAATCCGAAGAGGATCCTTACCCCACACCCCGCCCCAACCCGACCCCACCTCGGAAGATATAATTTTATTTGAACAATAAATAAAATAAAGCACGAGTATTATTTGGAATTGTTTTTAAAATGTCTGAAAGCATTTTTATAAAAATGCAAGTGAATATTAAAAAGCTCTTAAAGTGCTTATTAGAAGAAGCACATAACTGATGCTCCTTATAAAAAGCACTTTAAGTGCTTTTGAAACTAAAAAATATTTTTTTTCTAAATGCCCTTCTTCATTCATTTTAAAATCACTTCCAAAAAACATGTAATGTGGTAAACCCTCAAACCTCAACCTTCAATTACAAAATAATACGTATCATGTAGATATGATAGTTATGAACCTTTTCTTCCAAATCTTATATTTTCATTGCCATGTCTAGTGCTTACATACACTCTTTGCAACTATTAAATAATGAAGCTTGTTTTAGATTTTAAGAAAAAATTATTGCAATGGTACATCAATTTTAACCCAATTGGAGCTATAGTCTCTCAATTAAATATCCATGACCATTAGTCTCTTAACTCATTAAAACATGTATAGATATGATCCTTGTCGTTAACTCCGTCAGAATTCCATCAAAATGAGTTATGTTGGAATAACTATTGCTACAATTGAGTTAAAGTTGAGGGACCATTATTCCAATTGGGTTAAAGTTGAGGGACTATTTCTCCAGTTAGGTTAAAGTTGAAGCAGATTTGCTACAATTTTTCTCATTCGGTTTTCTATATTTGCCCTCGATTCAGCTACATGTGTGTGGGACGTGACTCACTTTGACCAAAATTCTAATGGAGTTGAAGAAAATGACCACAGCTGCATGTTTTGAGGAGTTAAAAGATCAACAGTTATGAATTTTTAGTTAAGCGACCATTACTCCAATTAGGTTAAAATTGATGAACTATTGCTACAATTTTCTCAGATTTTAAATGTATATTTTATTTTGAAAAAAGCAAGGATACTATTTGAATATAATTCACAAAATATTGTCCTACATTCTTAGCATAATATTTTGCTCTATCCTTGAGTCGCATAAGAACAAGAAGTCTTTAATTAATTAATTGAAACATTGAAGTTATACATGTTGGGTTAAGATCCTCTTCGCATCTTGTTTGTCCGAATCATGTGGATCAACCAGCATGTAGCAACCTTAACAAAGATGCCCATTTCGTTCTCCCTCTTCTCAGCTGGCGGAGATCTATCCGTTTGACATGAATTTGGACTTGGGCATCGACTTGGCTCGCTGGGTCTCAGTTTAGTACCGTTTCCGGAGCTTCTCCATCTTGCGACAGTACTAGACGACGACCTTCGCCGGAAAAGCAGCCGGGCATCTCCGAGAGACGTCGTTGACCCAGTTTTGCAGTGTGGCCCTCCGTTTCCGCAGTGGAGGGTTGCTGCTTATTGTTGATTCCTGGACGCGCAATCTTCTTTCGAACGGTCACGATTGTTTAATCCAAAGGATCCGAATAGTTAAAATCCGAAGAGCATCTTAACCCATATATTTATATTTATTTTCATATATTGGTGAGTCGTACAATTAAATAAAAGGATGACTTTAACGAAAAGTGATATTTTTACATAAAAAATCAATTTTGGTATTATTTATGTTACTGTTTATTTTGTTTTTATTGTTAAAATTCAAAGTTTTTAAACTATTTTTATTAATTTTTATTTAAATAAACCTCTTCACTCAAAACTAATAGATCATGCTATGGATTTACGTCTAGATCCTTTCCACCTAATATTCCTCATCAAACAATTCAGACTCTTAAAATTTGTTTCAACAATTAAAAATACGGATACACTTTAAAAGTTATAATAACTTTAACTGTTTCATCAAATTTTAAGAATCCAAATTATTTAATAAGAAAGACTAAGTGAAAGGAATCCAAAGATAATTACTCGTGGATTTACAACAAAAGTTGGCCAAACATTTTAACGTTGTTAAAAGAAGAAGTATTTTGTCGGTCCAATGTGGTTGCCGGTCCAAAGTAGCTCCTCACTACGTGGCAGCGAGTGAAGAAAGGCATTCCATAATAGAAAATTTTCCATTCTGTAAATAGAAAAATAATCTACAAAATAAAAACAACCTTAATAAAAAATTCGTAGTATTATTTATTTTTACGAAAAATCATATTTTTACATTAAAAAATTAATCATAATATTATTTATTTTATATTTTATTTTATTTTTATTGTTAAAAGAAAAAAATTTCAAACGTTTTTTAATTAGTTGGGACACGAAAATGTCACTTTTCTCGTATGACGTCAAATATCTTGCCCTAAGATTCACTTACATATCCGACCAACCACGCGTCCATATCATAAAGCACCAAATTTATCTCTTTCACTCGCACAAAGCTCGCGTCGTTCCCCTTCCCTTCGAAGTCGTGCGCGAGGAGGCGTTCGTGGGAGAGTGCGCCTCACGCGGTGTGTCTCGCGTACAAACTTTCAGCGTTACTGTTTGGCAACCGAATTTTGATGTTCTGTGCCAAATGAAACGCGACCACGTATTTGAAATCTCGAACCTCCCCAAAAGGTAACATTACTACGCTAACCCCGATATCTGCCCCACGTGTTCATCTCCTTTCGGCAGTGGCTGACACATAACGCTCTCTCATTGGGTAAGACAGTTGGACAATGAATTCGAGTGGGCCGTACTGGGGGAAAAGATTTAACCAATGAAATCCCGCGCGTCCTTGTCTTGGAGAACTTTCCTAACGTGTCACGAACATGTTGTGTTACGTTAAGTATTATAATACAATAGTTGAATTGTTTCAGCACCGTGGGTATTGATTATTTCGCATCGGCAAGATAAAGAAAGAATATACTAATCCCATTTCTACTAATATCAACTTTTTATGATAACATTCATACCTGTCGAATTGTGCATGTACTGTGTCACGAATATGTTGTGTTACGTTAAGTATTATAATACAATAATTGAATTGTTTCAGCATGCTAGGTATTGATTATTTCACAGCGGCAAGATAAAGAAAGAATATAATAACCCCATTTCTACTAAGACCAACTTTTTATGGTAACATCCATACTTGTCGAATTGTGCATGTAGTAATTAACAAATTGAAAATAATATCAGTGTTGTTGAATGTCGATCTCTGGCCCGTCTGTCTAATAATTTGACTTGATATTAGAGCAAGAGAGTGGGCCTTACTGCCAAATGATGAGTGGATCTCCTTGGCTCTGCCCGATAATGGTGGGTCATTTGGCCCCATGCGTTGAGTGAGTCCTCTTACTCCACGTGGCTGCTGAGTGTGAAATTTTTACGTGTGATTAACTAATTGGATTTCACATTAGGAGCTTGTTGAATATCCCATATCGACCAAAAACAAAAGTTTTAATACCTTAACCTTACTTTAATTAATATTGACGTCTTTTGAGATAATCACACATGTTGGACTATTTAAAATGTTAATTAATATAAATATTATCGTAGTTGATGTTTAGCATGTCTCTCTAATAATTTGAAATGCGTTCTAACCAATTTATATTATGACATTTCATGTCTGAAGCATTAAAAAATCTCTCCTGGTGCAGGTGGGGGAAGTGCACTGTTTGTTCACACGCGCTTCCTCTCACGCTTACTAATAGAATCATCACCTGCTTGAGCTCCCACTCCGACGAGAGGGAGAAAGAAAGCAAGAGAGAGAAAGATGGTGTAGCGCCGGTTGATATGGAAGGCGGAGAAGGGCGGCGCATGCTAAGATGCGCTGGGGGTGAGCTGGATAAGCATGCAAGCATGAACCGGAACATGCTCAGATTCCGGCCGATTGCACCGAAACCGGTGGCCAACGGAGCCGGAGAGGTTGGTAACAAAAACTCGGGTTTGAGTGTTTTGACAAATGCAAGAAGAAAGAGAAAGTACGTCAGGATTTCCAAGAATAAAGTATGTAGGGCGAAGGATAAGGATCCTAAGCGCGTGGTGACGACGCTGCAGCTCTTGCCGGAGAAGAACGATACAGAGAGCTCATCGGACAGTGGATCCCGGCGTCCTTTAGATCCTACGGTGACGGACAGTAATAACGATAGAAATAATCAAAATAGTTATCCTGCTGGAAAAGAAGATGAGGGCTTACGCCTAGGAATTCCCATGTGGTTGAGGAATTACATGGGTGGTGGAGGAGGATCAGATCCGACGGTGGGGATGCGGCAGATGGAGGCGGTGGAGTCTTGGGTGACGGTGGAGTGCGTGACAGGCACATGCATGAATGCGCACGGTACGTTTGGAAGTGTTAGGAGTAGGGACGTGGAGGGGCTGAGGAGTGATCTGGAGAGGGACACGTGTCCGGGGTTTATATCGGACGGTCAGAACAGGGTGCAGTGGCTGAACGAGGCTTTTAAGAAGATGCTGAGCCAGCAGAAGTGTGCGGCGGAGATAGCGGTGTTGTTGGTGGTGAAAGAGAAGCTGCCGTATGCGGATGCTTTAGCGTTAACGTGCCAAGTAAAGCTGCAGTACACGGTGGGTAAGGAGAGGTGCTCTCGAATTGTGCCTTGTGATTTGTGGAGAATGGACGGTGGAGGATTTGCATGGAGGCTCGACGTCAAGGCTGCTCTAACTCTAGGTCGTTGATTTGAAGCCGTTTAAAATTTATATGGATTATCAGTAGATGGAATGGAAGGCTGAAGATCTCAGGTATACACATTTGCATTTGTTTGTATATCTATACATGTATATTATATACATTTGAGTGAGTTTGGTGCAGTTATACTTAATTAAGTTCACAATTAGGATAAACACGGATTAATGGAAAAACTTTATCAATCTTTGTGGTGTTAATAGACAAAATTAGCTTAACAGTTTAATCTTCATTTTTATGTCAACATTATAAAACATTGTGCTAATAACATAAGATGATTGAGAGTCCACACAGAGTTACATTTTTGAGCTTCTTAACATTGCTCTTTGTACAATTATCTGCTTTTTTAATACAATATTGGTGCATTTGTGATCCTCCAGTGCACTAATTATTCAGATTAACAAAAACTAATATTTAAACACCAGGTTAATTAAACTCCATGTCTCTTATGCATTTCTTGTATTAGTTAATCAATTAAGCTTGAACCAATACTAATGCCCTTTTTTCTGCTCTTCTTCTTACCTGCAGGTAAATAAAGAGGAAACTCGACTGCCCTATTCATTCCGTCCTGTCTAGTAATGCCACCTTTAGTCACAGTCATCTACATCTAACCCTTTAAATTAATTGGATCCATCCATGAATAACCATCTGGCTGGTTGTCTTGGATATTCTTAGCCAGGAACATGATGTTTATACCAAAAACAAATTAAAAAACACATTTATATACCAATAGGAGGAAAAACGAAGCGATTAACAAAATATATATGCACATATATATATATATATATCTGAAAATATCATCTCTAATTAATCATGGGAAATTCAATTAGTATAAATTGAACTTTTGAACCCTAGCTAGATGTATGATTTATTGTCAATACTTGAAAAAATAGTTTATATATATGCACATATATAAGAGGAATAACTCCTGTTCCTAGTTTTGCATTTAACAGAAGTAATAAGAAACTAGTGTTGCGTAATAAACCTAATTGGGAGGAGTACATATACTGTTATACAAATAAGAGACTGACATGAAACGGGGCATAAAAAATGTGGTAGTCACGTACGCGTATCTATGTAATTTAAAATTTCCACATAAGATTGTGTAATTAATCTGAAACATGCATCGACAATCTAAGGATCTCGTTTCCAGTAAGTTATTCTTTACATAAAAGTTGTATTAGATGGTGAGTATACTATCATTTTTTTCATCGGGATACAAATTATTCCTCATAAAATTCTATTCTTTTTTCTCATTGTTGTTTTTTTTTAACTCTTTTTTCTTTTTCTTTTTTGTTTTGTTTTGTTTTTTTTTTGTTTTGTTTGGGGGGCGGGGGATTGGCTGGGTGTTATAAAAATAGAATTTCCCCATTCAAGATCAAATCCCCATTCGTTTGCTGATGGGAAATGAAGAACTTACGTTGGTGTCATTAAACTAACCCCAGTTATTATGATCTTTGAGGGACTTTTTTGGGTGCTTCAGAGTATCCGAATTTCAGATATTTTAACCGTTAAATTTTACGATTAAAATATTTGAAATACTGGGTACTTTGGAACACTCAATTTTTTTTGTTCTTTTGGTCTGATAAGTACTTAACTTATGAAGAAAAATATAGTGTTGCATGTGATTACTATAAAAAGAAGGGTAACAACTACCTTGCAATATTATTACTCATTTGAACTTCCCATCTTCCGCTTGTTGTTTTATCTGATAATTAAATCAGTCTTTTCATTCATCACTTTATATTACATGCATGCATGCCCTGTTCAGGTGAAATAATTGGTTCAAAAGAAAAAGGCCGAAATATATGGAGTCGTGGAACCAGCAGGAAGGAAAAACATAGATAATATAAATGTTAAAATATTTTTACGTATACTGTATACTTGATGTGATCTCAATTATATAGTTTTAAAAGCGCCAAAGGTTGAGAAAAGGACATCATATCAGCTAAAACTGTATAAGATAGATAGATAGAGTGGACTACCAACAATATATCTACTTTAGTTACTTAACATAATTAGCAGACATACATACATACATACATACATACATACATACATATATATATATATATAGACAAACTTTGAAAGTAAGGAGATGGAAGCGAAACTGCTCGAATGAAGGTTCTAGTGAGGAGGGAAGCGAAGCTGCTCGATGACAATGGATCGAAAGAGAGTAGACGACCGACTCGTGTAAGTCACTACAAAAAAATAGAGACTTTTTGAAGAAATGACAATAAGAAAGAGCGCTTGCACTTGAAGAATATTGAATATAAAAATCAGATCTTCTGTGTTATTCTTTTAACTCTAAATTAAACGACAATAGAGAACTCACCATAAAAGGCTAATTGTACATCCTCGAAATCTCCTAGCTATCCAACCTTATGTAGATATAGACTATTTTCTTCTTCCTTCTGTTTGTTTTCTTATATATTTAACTATCCACTGGCAATAGCTAGACATTGTTTTCGTTTCTTGTTATATAATTATTATTATTGTTATTATTATGTAACAGGGTTTAGCTACCCACTGGCATGTAATAGTTAATAATGTTTAAACTTTGTTGCTAAACGATAATTAAGTACATTCATTATTGTAACAGGCTTTGATCTTTTCTGAGGAGGTAGCTAGCATCTCTGGATCTCTGAAGAAGAGTTGAACAGTAGTCTTGAAAGTGTACATACTAGTAAGCTCGAAGCAACAGCGATGACATCATATATATATATATATATATATATATATCTCTGATAGAGAAGTGGAGTACGAACTCTTGATTTAGCAGTAAAGCAGCTGCTGATGAAATCCTCAAAGGTTTGAGTACGTACATGTAGAGAAGAGACTATACTTAATAATGCAGTAATGCATGAAGCTAGCAAGCTATGAAAAAACCCGCTGGTATGTTTATATATATTTTTCTTATGCAGTAATGCACACCTTCATATCATCAGAGATTGATAGCTGTCCAATAATATATATATTGCCTGTCGATCTGTCTCTGAAGTTTCAATTCTTTTTGTAATTAATTTTTCAATTTGTGGTGGGTAAGTAGCTAGTTTCCTCATCAACATGCACTAATTAAATGAAAAATTTATAAAATACACACTGACTTGAAACGAAGGGGATAATACAATCTGCTTAGCTAGATAAACAAACAAAACAGGGATATACAGTCTGCTTAAGGGATACTTTTTTATTTTTTTTATTTTTAGGTTTTTGTGTTTGAGATATGGAGAAAGTATATAGGAGAATGGATGAATGAAGAAGGTTGGTGGGAGGGATTGAAGAACAACTAAAGAAGAATGAATGAAAACAAAATTTTGAATGTGAAAACAACTTTAAATAATTTTGTGCGTAAATTTTCTTATACATTTCTTCAACATCTATCATTCATGCATCCTTCCTCCATTTTTCTCCCACTTAGTTTTTCAAAATCTCAAACACAAAGGTTAAAAACTAAAAGCTAATTAAATACTAGTTAAAAACAAAATGATTACAAAAAAAAAAGTCACTAATATCTCCAAATAACAAAAGGATAATACTTGTATTTCACCCTTTAGGGAATAAGTTCATTACCCTACTTACAAATAACTTCTCTTTAGTGTAGAAATTTTATCGGAATCGTTCACTATTTTAAATTTGAAGATCATCTTTACAAAAAATCATTCGAATTAGCGATTGTTTAATTGTCCAAATGTATCAAACAACTCAAAGTTGTAGGTACCAAGTAGCATATTCATGATAAACCATTGGGTTGTTTGATTCATTTGGATGACTAAACGATCACCGATTCAAATGATTTTTGTAGGGATGATGTTCAAAGAAAGATTAAGAGATTGAATGGTACCGATTATAAATTTTTTACAGTGAAAATACATTATTTGCAAGTGAGAAAATGAGCTCATTCCCAAGAGAGAATGCAAGAATTATCCACAGAAATATATGCCCCATTTTCTCTTCCTTTATTCTTTCTTGCTTGATATTTTTAGTGATCATCACTTCTCAATATTTTCTCCATTCCTGCACGTACATCACCCTCCATAACTGACCATCAAGGCTGCTTGCAGCCATTGGCTTTCTTCCTTCAGAATCACATCATAATTAAACTTGAAGGCCATTCATTTACCAAAAGTTCTTGCATATATGTTGCTCCAAACATTCCTCTCGACTTGTGCTCTTCTGAATGTGTGTGTTCTTAAAACTATATATTATCCATAATTTAAGTACTTTGAGAAGGTGTAATAATTACCAAAAGATACAGCGCCTAATTAAACCCTTAACATGTATTACAGAACTTTTAAATGCACCTAATTACTATGTTCAGTTTTTCCATAATTTTGGCCCGTCGATGGAGCTTGCATTTTCACTGTACGAAGTTTCTCATTATCTTGAAACTTTTTCTGATCATTCAAGCTAGGAGATTGCCTGATGTGTCAACTCTCCTTTTGCATGTCTCTCTATCTGACAGTCACTCTCTTGATCGAACATTGACTACTATTTCTTTGTATTCATTTACGGTGGAGCTATTGACACTCATTTTTACCTTCCACGAATCCCTTGTTAGTTTAACTAATCCTTTTATCTTTGTTTCATTCGATCCAACCGCCAGAAATTAAAAGGCGTGTGTGAGTGGTAAAGGGGGTGTATGGATAGCACCACCATTCACTTAATTAGTGAAGTGTTTTGTTTAGTTTTTAGGATTGGATTGGATTAGAACAAACAATTCACTATATTCAATTCAAGGTACGTAAAAGAAAGAAATGAAAAATAAATAAATTGTGTTTAGCTTGAAGATAGAATATGGATTGCTTATTATAGAACTTATCTGTTCAATCCCCTTGAAATAGATTAAAAGCGATAAGTTAATCACTTTCATTCTAATCTCATTCTAAGTCCCTTAAAATATACGTTGTTATGTACTTTACATGTTGTAAATTATCCATTCTAATCCAATCCTAAACATCAAGCTGATGCCTTAAATGTATACAGATTCCTCCAAGGGTGTATGATCTATGAAACCTTGGCACATGATTTATAAAGTGTATTTAGATACCTCATAAAAAATATAACGTATAGAACTACGTCGAACTTGAGTTTCAAGTAACACGGTTAACCGTCTATTTATTTAATACATTCTTTGATTTTGATTATAAAATTTGTATTACGAAAGGCTTCTACAGCCATCAACCCTAACCTTTCGCTTTAGGGTTGGTGGCAGCCTCCTGATTTTTGTGCTTTATTCTTCTCTTCCTCCCTATTTCTTCATCTATACTTCCTTCTGAGCTTTGTCGCAGTTGTCTGAACCTTAATTTGTCTCAGCCATTTGAGCCTTGGTCTCAGCTTTCTCCCTTCTCTTCACTCAATAGCCGCTCACCGCCAGATCCATTTCCCTCCTCATCGCACCATGCTTTCCTACCTCTCCCTCGCTCCCCCTCATCTTTTCCAACCCATAATCATGAATTAGATCTCGGAGTGTTGGGCTTTATCTTGACACCAGACCCAACACTCACAATCCACTGTTGAACCGACTTGTCGGAAAAATTGGACGAAGGGTGGAACAATTCACGTCGGAACAAGGATGTTTTACACACCCCTTTGCCCTCCCCCTCCTCATGTTATGTTTTGTAACCTTCCTCGCTTGTGTGGCTATGGATGATGTGGTTCCTGGTGGATTGATTATGCACAACATTCACAAATATAATTTTTGGTTCGGGCGCTCTTTTCAGTTAGGGCCGATGTCTTCCTTCGCGGAGGAAGCGACAACAGTGAAGGCAGGCGTTTCGCTGTTTGAGATTAGGGTTTTTTGTGCTTTGCATTTTGTTTGGACTTAAAGAGTTACGACCCATTTATCACAAATTGGAATTTTCCGAAGCTTTATTTCGACCAAAGATGAATCCTAACAATCCCAATTAAAAACGCCGTGCGAGCAAAAACTTTACCCAAATTACCGAACACAATAAAAGATCTTTCATTTCCCTTCCGCAGATAGAAGACGTCGGAAATTCCTTTCCGCTTACCAAACGCAGCAAAACTTGCTCCTGCAAGCCTCGGTTACAAATTACAACCCTCGCAAATTCCTGACGCAGGGCTGGAAAACCAAACAAAAAGGGAAATGCAGATGCAATATATGCAGGTAGAACTGCCAAGACTACAATCAAATTCATTCAAAAGAACTCGCAATCTCGTCTATTTTTGTGAAAAAAAAACAATTACGATACATTAATAGTCATGGACAACCACAAACAACGGACTGAATCCGAGAAACCAAGGAAGACTTTTACCACAGACCCCACTTTTCGCTGTTGATGGAGTAAACAACACTGAATCAACTCTTTTAACACGAGAGTAAAATAGTCATACAATCTGAGATGAAATAATCAGCATTTGACCTTCCACAGATACATGCGTCTTGCCCTTTCCGGAGAAGATAAAATCTAACCAGACCAGAGACAAGAGAGGGGTTTCCCTTCTTGGCATGTTTTTACACAATTGAGTACCATGTTTTGCAACTGTTCATCAACTTCCTCCATGGATGAACAAGCATCTATGATCTGCATCAAGCCAAAACAAATTTAACCTCGGCATAGTATCCACGTAATTCAACTCACCTAGGAATAGTATACTTCGAGAATAACAGTTGTAAACCAAACAATTTAGCAGTGTTGCAGGGTTAGTTGTATTTGAACCGCTGCTTCAACGAGCCCCCGTACTATACAAAAAAATTGCCAACTTGCAGCGTAACTCCAAAATAAAATGTGTAAACAATAATCAGATAATGATAGCCCAGCCAGGATCTATATTATATATTAGGAACAGATTTCACATCAGTGTTTGTTGGAAAACAGAAGAAAACTTGGGCATGAGAAAATGAAATTGGAGGAATACGTTTGGCATCACAACCCCACCTATGCTCTTGGTGAGAGTGAAATCTTTTTCCATTTCTGTTCATTCTGTTCCTCTAAATACTTCTTTTAATGGACATCCGTTGATTCAATGTATTCTTTACAGTACAAAAATTAAAAGTTTGAGTAAAAAATTGCATCCAGGATGATATGGTCAAGATAGCATCACAACCGGAAGCAAATATCCAAGGTTCTTTAGTGAACTAAATGAATGAATCAACAAACTACCTTCCAAGTGGGACTGCGGAGGACCTGATAGTTCTGACCAACCTTCTTCTGAAACTCAAGCTGCTCGTATCTCTCACCTCCATAGCCTCCTCTTTCTGCAGCTTTCTGACAATTATAAATTCATACTTCATATCAACAAAGGGGAAAAATCACCCTGTCGATCTGATTTGCAGAGTAACCATCCAGGCTAATTTGTCAACATCATGCCAGGCTAAATGTAACAGCTCTATTTTCCTCAACAATAAATGTCAGCATAGAATAAGGACCCTAAGATATCAGTAGTTAGCCATGAAGGGCCAAAAATATACACCCATTATCTATTTTGAGAACCTATTGACTGCAAAATCAATTTGCATACCTAGGAAACTTCTTATGAGAGGCTGTTTGTGTATCTCGGAAGATATGTAAGACCACATAGGTAGCAGGGAATCACCTTAACCATGTTCAGTATTAGATATGCAATCAAGCAGAAAATTAACCGACATACCTAAAATTCAGTGTGAAAATGAAAATGACTACATACCTCAGGTGGTATGTCAAGGTACACTACAAGATCTGGAGCCAATAACCCAATCTCCGGAGCCTGCAAAAGAAACCTCATCTTTTTAATATCCTTATGTACAGAATTTAAAGATCATCAGGGGTAAAACATGAAGCATTTCCCCACCTTACACCATTCAATATCAAGTCCTTTGGCAGATGAAAATGCCACCCCTGAATAGGAATAACGGTCAACGACAAGGGTGGTTCCACTTTTCAATTTGCTCTCCATCAATGATCTACAAGGAAATTATAGATTACTTAGAAAAATGATTTGACCACCTCATTCTTCACCCTAAGAATGAACTTCAGCTAAAAT